GGCCCAAAGCCCCGTCCAACCTGGCCTTGAACACTGCCGGGGAGGGTGCAGCCACAGCTTCTCTGGGCAACCTGTGCCAGTGCTTCACCACCCTCAGTGAAGAATTTTTTTTTTCTTATATCTAACCTAGATCTACCCTTTTTCAGTTGAAAGCCATTACCCCTCGTCCTATCACTATATGCCCTTGTAACAAAAGAGAAGTTTTTCATTATAAACTTTACTCTTGGCATACAGGGTCTTCAATGAATTTGGCAGACCTTGGGAGGGCCTGTCTATCACCACCTGATAGACTCAACATGCAAAATCATGGATGCTTTTACAATTTCTCTCACAATCTGTAAGTACAGAAGTGGAATTTGACAGTGACAAAACTCATTTCTCCAGACATGGTTCTACTTATCGGGGGGGGGCCTGAAGTGTATTGTTTAGAGTATAAAAAATGGATAGGAATAACAGAAATTCTGAATCCCTGTGTAAAAAGCAAAGCTTAAAATAGAAAGTGTGTATTGAAATAGGATCTCTTCCTTCCTACAGTGAAAAAACAGCGTGAGATGAACTCGGTGCATGTTAAACAACTCACAAAGAAATGCTAATCACCGCAGAACAGTATGTTAAACCCTCCTCCCAGCTTCCACTTCCCTTACCTAATCTTTTGAGTAGGCTACGTCAGTATTACCTGAACTGTTGTGAACTGAAAATTTAGGCAATACTGAAATTACCCGAAAATTCATACCTGGGGTGTGAATTAATAAAAAATTCATACCTGGGCTATGAAATTAGATTAAAGTCAGTTCTGAGGTTAACCAGACAATGAACATGGATTTTAAACTGTAGTAATCAACAGGATCACTTGAAATACTTGCCAAATCTCGAAGCATAGTCAGGTCTAGGAATCAGAATAATTTTTTGGTAGACTTTGCAGAAAAGTTTAAGATTAGCATCGAAGGGACGATTGGTGGTTCCCACTAGCAGCACTCTGTCCTGTGCTTTCAAAGCCTTAAGGAATTTGGGGAGGACCTTTTCCAGTCGTCTTGGGCTCGTCTTCAGCGTGTACATGTAAATACAAGGAGGAAAGAGTTGTTGTCAATGCCAACAGTTTAGAGTTAGTGAGGTGAAGTTGTAGACATGCTATATAAAACAGGATTTTGTGTCTTTTTTAGTAGTCTAGTTGTATTTAGTATAAGCGGTCTAGACGTTCAACCTAAGTCGAAAGCCCCTGTCTTCTGAAAATCTGGTAAACACTTGATTCCTGCTTATATATCTGTGTGTTAGTGCTAGTGCCTTTCACTATTGAATTTGCTGGTCCTGTTATTGAAAAGCAGGAAGGAAACAACTAATTCAAAGGAGGAAATCCTGATTTCAAGTTCAGGTATGTGGGTCCAAGCAATATTTCTCCTTGATGAACCTTAACAGATAGAATCCTCCCAGCTCTTGGAGGTTATGCTCTACCAACCTGAGAACACAAGCTCTTTGAATTCAGGATTCATTTCTTTGCAATAATTTACTATTTGACTTTGTAACAATTATTTAACTACTATTTACAGAACAGATGAGTATTGAGTGAAACATCTTATTGGATAGTTATCTTTTATAATGTTCAAGTGAATATTGGTTGGAGAAGCTTAATCAAATTGCTGTGGTGTCAGTCCACTGTTAATAAAGCTGAGAGAAGAACTGGGTTAGGACACTGTATCAGAGAAACCTCATGACTTGGAAGCCTCTTTTGAGAAATGATTGTGACTTAATATTGAAGTCACCAACAGTCACTTGAAAACTTCAGTCTCTACATCACTGTGTGAGCTTTTTTTACTATATAGCAAGCAGGTCCCTGAGAATCTTAAGCTTCAGTTTCAGATCAGCCTTCCTTAATGTCAATAAGGAGGAAACTGTCCTACAAGCCTGCTCAGCTAAAAGGCAGTAACAAACACCTGCGAATCTACATTGTGTGTACAACATTTGTGATCCACTTTTTCTGTTGTCTGCAGTAGCAGATAGCTGATGGAAAGGAGACAAAGCTGTGTTCTTTAGAGTGAAACCTACAGAGGAGGGGAAATTGGGAAACCAATAAGAAATCCCCAAAGTCTTGGGGTATAGTCACACTGTTATTTTCTAGCTAAACTTGTCTTAATTATAGTACGTCTGTTTTCTCATTCTTCTTCTCATGGTCATACTATGCATCTTCCAAAGTTTGCCAGTTGCTTAATCATGATAATGAGTTGAGCATGCCTTTGCGCTAGGGCTTAGTTTCCACTTTGGAGCATGGACATGTTACTTGCCAGGATGCTACATCCAGCTCATGCTTTTGTTCTCGGATGAACTCTTCCTACAGACATCACTCAATACCAGCTGCCATGTTTTCATCTCCTCCTTGTTGTGCCTATGCACCCAATGCTCCCAGGAGAGTGGGATGCCTGCACTTGCTCCCAAAGAATGGGCCTACATTGTAAGCACAGTAGGTCTGCCCTAGAGCAAAGGAGAAGTCTTGGCTTTTCTCTTGCTCAGAAGAAAAGGATGTTGTTCCATCCACAGTGAATCAGTATGTTTGCTGTCTGAGGGCATGACTTCAAACAAAACAACAAGCTCTTACCCAGACTTTGCCATTCCCTTGTTGGGAAGCTTTCGGTAATGAACTTGGCTTCGCTGAAGATTAAACTAGCTGCTGTTACATAATTTATCCACAGCATTTAGAACATTGTTTTTTGGGTGACAAATGATACTCATGGATTCCCACTTATCTAGAGTTGGTTACAGCGAGTGATCATTGCTCAGCTTGTAGCAACCTTAATTTTAAATGATTGAACCAGTACTAGAGACCAAGATAAATACTCTCATGTTAGTCCTACTAAGCCAGACTGGCATTTATGTGTCAGCAGCTCCTGTCATGCTTGCAAAACTAATGTGTGTCCATAGTGCACACACTTTGGGGATATGTCCAGAAAGCTAATAATGATGTTTGAAAGAAATGTGTCAGTAGCAAGAAGGGCAGCTGAAGAGGCAAGCTATGATTTCAGCCACCATGTGGACCTGAGCTGGAGGAAAGTGGGGTGAATCATGAAGGTGATACCTATTTATGTAATTGACTGAACTGTTTCTGCATCATCCTTGGAATCTGGGTTACCATAACATATTTGATATTTGACTGCTTTGCATCTTCTAGGGAGGACTGGAGAAAGACTACTTTTGTAGTGGGCATTTGAAGAATTTAAGGCTTTTTTTAGCAGGTTCTCAATCAGAGCCAGAAATCTCATGGTGGGATGAGTAAAGTGACTTCCACTCCCCTTGGCTTCTTCTGAGGACTGAACTTGGCTCATATTCTTCAAACCCCACCCCACCCTTGAAGTTCTCCTGTGGAAGGATAGCCAGGCTGCCAGTTACAACTGCCTGTCCCTCCTGTCTCATGCTCTCTGCTCCCAAATATGAGTTATGGTGTGAACTGTGTGGGACTCGAGTGATTTCAAGCCTGGAGCCATCCACTCCCACGAAGAACGTGAGGCATTTTGCTTTGCTGAATGCCTACAGGTCTCTGGATGCAATAGCAGGCATAGAGGTGATACTTATGACATAGGCATGGGGAGAAATTTTTCCTTATTGGTGGCTATGAAAGCAGACAAAGATCATGAGTACTCCAGGCAATCTTTGGCCTCTACTTTCAATTTTAATCCCCATCTGCATTTGCTGTCAAGGTTTGAGCCCAAGACAAAGGCTCACTTTTGGTGTAGGGACCACTAGAGGGCATCAACTACTGCACACCCATCAGCTCAGTCAGCCTACACAGAAGCAACAGCCTCATCCGAGGTGATGCTTCACTGGTCTTCCAAAACACAGGCTTGTGTCCATCGCACTGCCTCAATGCACAGGACTCACCTTAAAAAAAGGCTTAATTTTTCACATAGGGCTCTAAAAGTAAAATATTTTTCAAACAGCATGAATCTAATTAGGATTTCAGGTGAATAGCTCTCTTCTGCAGTGGTTGGGTTGCTGTGCCTATTGGGCAGCGTTTTAATTTTCTTTGTAGTGGGGAAGCTGCACAAGGGAGGAAGGAATGGAAGCAATGGTGATAAGACTCGTGGGAGTCCAAAGAAAATAATCTGTAAATGTAACTATTCAAGATAGGCTCTTTGTTTTCACAGTGGAAATTTATCCTTGTTACTTTATTGTTCACTTTGGCTCCATCCAATTTCTCAAATTAATAGAGCTGAACAATTTAAGCTCATCTTAACTTTTAGTTTCTTGCCTCATATTTTGAAATTCTCCATTATTCTCTTCTGCTTTTCAGTGCACTGATGAGCAGTGACTGGACTATTTTTAAATTAAGCAAGTATAGGTGGGTAGAAATGTGACCTATTAGAGGTTTTTAAGAAGTCACAAGACTCTTAAAAGAAATGTTAGTGAGACAAGCTATTATCAAGCAAGCTTTGGCAGATCTGGTCATACTGGTATGTGCTGAGCGAAGAAATACACTTGTCCATTTGTGTCAGCTGTAATTCAATGGGAGAAATTACTTGCACTGGAATAAAAAAGGAGCAACTCACCTCTTCATCAGCTTTCGACACTGCTTTAGAAAATATTTTTTCTGTGTCTCCAATCCACACAACTGAAGGCTGCAATTGCTTAGCCACCTAAGAGAAAATGGGGGAGGGAAGGCAGGAAGTTGATTAAAATGACTACAGTTTCATACCTGGGTGCTTACAGTTATGCTTTTGAATCTGTATTTCAGCAGTTAAAATTAGCCTGGTTTAATTTTTTTCCAGAAATGTTCAGCACTCATAGATAGCACTGGCTCTGCTCAGCAGTCCTGGCAAATCAAACTGTTTCTAGTTGGGAACCTAACATAAAGATAAGCATAGTTGTGTTCTTAAACTTCTCAACCCAAATTCCATTGCAGTTTTGAAAAAGGAAGCCTGGACTTTGAGTTCAGTGGCAAACGACAGACCAGCAGCAGCTTTAGACTGGCTGCCCTTGCCCGTAGCATCCCTCTCTGGTTTTCCAAGGGCAATACACATGGGGAGACAGGCAAGACGTGGCTATTGCATGAGAAATGAGGGTATTGATCTTTAAGCAAAACAGGCTGATACGCAATCTTCTGGCTTACAAAATAGCACTTAATTTGCAGTTAGCCCAAGAATTATATTGGAACCTGTTAAATTTGAAGGGGTTTGGGGGGTGTGTGGCTATACAAATGGGCTTTCCGGCTCCGAAGTCAGAGGCACTATACCTCTGGTTCACAGCAGGATGGCAGCAATGCTACAGGCTTTTTCACATCTTGCGCTCTCCCCATTGCTATAGAAACGCCAGTGGTTTAGACATTCTGCTGCCAAATTTTAATCACTTTCCAGCGGCTCTCAGAGCTGTGCTAGTTTGCTCAGCAACAAAGTGATGGCTCGAGGAGTCAACGGGTAACGAGAGAGACAGCATTCTTCTTTCCTGCTCTTTTTTTCCCCCCATTGAAACTGCTGCTTCCAGGAAGGAAGCTTACAAAATCAATAGGTTGTATACATCATAAGCTCAGCGTCTGATTGACAGACAGTGCAGGAGGAATGAAGTCATGAACATCTTGCTTCAAAACACTGCAGTTCATTTTTATGGACGCATTTCAAAAGCCCCAAGCATGTGTGTGTCTGTACAGTAAAAAAGGATTGAAGATAGGGGAGAAGAATAGTAGATGAGGGCTGTTAAACTTGTTTGCTCTGCTGTGCTGCTGATGGGATGAAGTGGAAACAATGTTGTTTTCAGCATGTGACGCTTTATTTGCGGTTACTCGTCAGTCCTAGACTATGTCAAGTGGAACCTCCATGTTCAGAATGATTTCACTGAGGAAAACAGCTTTTTCCTTTGTTGCAAGGCAGGAACTCCAATCTTTAGCACTAATAATGAGGATTTAAAAAATAAAAACATGTCATGAAAGATAATATGAAAAACCTGCAGAAACCAGTGTGTGGACCTAGGCAGTTGTGTGAATGTCTATCTGCATGTACAACTTCAGGGATAACTTCTCAGTTCAGCAGTGTATTGAGTCTACAAGCTGGAATAAAATGACAGATTGAAATTGTACAGTGATATCATCTGCCTTTTTAAGGCCAGATGCTTTTTTTATCTACCCTATTTAACTATTTTCAGAGGTACGTTTGGCATATTCCTGTACACACTCTGCAAGGTGCCTTTGACAAGGCAAGCCTGTGGCTTTCACTGAACTGAGCTGTGTAGCAGGCTTAGACTTGAGGATTTTCTGCTGAGTGTCCTGCTAGTCAGGGGCTCGGATACCTGCAGCAAGTGCAAGTCAGTCCTACGGATTCGCACTTGCAGGTGAATTCAGTTAGCTCCTGGATGTCTGTAAACAGGCTTGGAGATAAGTGGTGAGAGAAGAGTAATGTGGTAGCATGGTCATATAACAGGGATAGGATAACTAGCATTCTTTGTAAGATTAAGACTTGGAAAGAAAAACATAGGTGTGGTTTAAATTGCTAAAAAATATCTGCAGCTTCTTAAAGAACTGTGTTTGCATTTCATGCACCAGCTATGAAATCTATCGTGATGTGTGGAAACCGACTCGGAGGCCCTTACTGAACTCAGCACCACTAATGAATTGGACTATCAGCTGGGGCTTTCTGATGTTTCTGATGGTGACTTTTACCTTCTGAAACATAAGATAACAACCTGCTCTGTGCGAGCCTGGAGACAGTGTCAGGCGGGAGATGAGGCAATGGGAGATTGTTCCCCTTGAAGCCTGCCTTTTGCCTGAGTGAAGACTGGGCTGGTGGCACCCTGTCTACTCCAGTTCACAGACTGTGTGCACACACGCCACCACCCCAACAGACTCTGTGGGATCTGCTGTTATTGTGGTGCTTTCTCCCCACTTTTCTTGTGTTTATAATGCTGTTAGTCTCAGCTGCTGACAAGGGTTACTTCTCTGCTAAGGCATGTCCTAATGTTAACGCAAAGAGATGCTGTGCGTTTGCTTCCTGAGGAGAACAGTCCTCTTCTGGTGGTATTGCTTTGTGTGGGTAATGCAGCTGTACGATGTGTGGGGAGCCGCATAGCTGGTTTGTGATATATTCTCCATACCTGCGTGTCTGATGCTGCAGTGTGATGTGATGGGGGGAATAAGGGTGGGGGAGGTGACAGAGGCTGTAAAAGCTGTTGGCGATGGTTGAAATCTGCTTGTGTACTTCAAAGGGAACCATGTTGTCCCTTCAGTGGGGCCACTGCAGTCGAGGACGTGCAGATCTTCCCCATTTGGCTCAGAGATGGATTCTGTGGTTAACAGCCCTCTAAAATGGGGCCTTAAGTTTTCAATCAGACTATACTTACATTTTAACTCCTAAAGAAAAGTACTTGCTGTTTTCACACCTGCAGTTGTCTTTTTTTTTTGTCCCCTTTATTTCCCCCACCTGGTAAGCAGAAAAGCACTGAATAAGCTCAGTTCTATCTTTCTTAGATACTTTCCTGTGCTTTCTGTTTTGAGGCAATGATCTAAACGTATAAAGTGGTCTGTGTGTAATTTTCTGGTGTTGGTAAACATTAATATGACCAAATTCAACACACTGTATTTGTGGCCAGTTGCTTCTTTTTTTCAAAGACAGATCAGACACCCAGAATCCATTGGCATCTAATTTAAATTGTTGGCAGATACATAGCAGACTGTATATCCCCCGTGGAAGCGCTTCATTTGAATTATCCATGGACAGTTTGAATCCATGGATAATTAAATGCACTGTACATAATTAATTTGTAATTGAAATTTTATTAGCTTTGCTGTATGCGACGGTTTGTGGGAGCTGCCAGCAGATGGCCCCTTAACCCTTCTAATACCGCACCGAGCTTTGCTTCGCTCTTCAGGAAAATCATCACGAAAAAAGCCTGCTCGTCCCGCGCCGTCTGTCAACATTCACCAAAGATCAAATCGCGTTCTTTGAAAGCCTCGGGTTAAACTTTTTAAACCTGAGAGCCAGAGTTTAACAGTTAAATTGCACACACTTGAAAAATACAGAAACTTGATTCTTGCAGGGGACATGTGCACAAGGCTCCTCCAAACTTGCAAGCTTTGGAATACTTTTAAAAGACCCGAGACTAAGATTTTTCTGGAAGCTCAGTTTGCTGTCAAACTGCTCAATCCTCTGTAGTTCACATTCACAGAATTGCTCCGAAGCAGCAAGACACTGAAACCTGTTGTTAGAACTTCTCTGTGGGAGCCTTGCCAGGCAAATATTCCAGGGCTACAGTCTTGATGCCACTGTAGTTTGGTTTGTTAGACAGAAAATAACTATACATACTGTCTTCCCACAAGATGCACTTCATTTTTTTGACATTAGAGTAACAAAAGGTAAAGCTGCTTTGTCACAGAAAGAACACTGTATGTTTGAGCACCGGTGATATTTCACATTTAAAGGGTCTAGGCTTCTAGCAGGCTGAACTGCACCAGGAGAAAGGGTGAAGAAAGCCTGACTGTATTGTTGCCAAATTTCAGCTGTAATGGAAGTGTGTTGTGTGGCATGGAAATGCGAAATACACAGATACTTCTGTCAATGTACTAGGGTAAACTGTACCTCATTCTTCACACTGTCTAAAAAATGACCTGTCTGCGGGGACAATACAGCAGTTGTTACTAATAAATGAACCTGATTCAGTGGAAAAAAAATTGACAGACTTCAAAATTATGTTGCCTCTAAAGGCTGGGATTACATCTTTTAATCTTAAATGAACTCCATCGCATTCCTTTTTTGGTATGACACTTTTACAGTCACCTCTGACTTGCTAAATAGCATAATCAAATAGTCTGATAAGAGTCCCCTAACAGCGACAGTGCTGAAACACTTCTGTAGTTTGCAGCTCTGTAAAATTCCCTGTTCAGTAAAGACAGCTGCACAGCACACGCTGAGCTGTTGATCCACATACACGCCTTCTGCGCTGGTATTTCCTCCTGGCCACCTCTTTACCAACCTTTTAGCCTGGTCAGTGTTGCACTAATAACACCTTCCCATGTGTGGCTTCTTGTACAATGTGCTTTCTGTGTGCCCTGGTGAAGGACCCGAGAGGGGTTGTCTCACTCTGGTAGTGATTAACCTGATGGCTGCCTTATGGTTGCTAATGGAAGGCCAGTGCTTGTCACTTTTATTGCCTTGGAGTTAAGCTTTATGAACTACCTGCATTTTTGTACCTCTGTGTCATGGAGTCATACCTTCCACCTTCTCGATCATTCCTGGATGTGCTTTTGCTTCTATGCATCCTTCACTATCCTTCTTTGCTTCTTTTGTACAAGCTGTGGTGGTGCTGCAGTGTTTCATGCCTTGATGGGAACATGGGAGAGCCATGCCACTGGCTGGCACAAGCTGGCAGAGAGCTCCGTTGAGTGCAAGTTGGCTCAATACATGGAAAATGTGGCTTAATGGAAATATTCCAGCATGTTCTGGTTCACACTTGAAGGATGAGTTTTGTTCTGGGGACTGCTGAGAAGTGCTATATTAGAGACAGATCCTCTCTTTTCACTCCAAAGCAGAGCCAACCTGGCAGGCTTTGCTGTGTCTTTATGGAGAACACAAGTGCTTGGGCTTGGTGTTTGCAGCTTCTTTCCATAGTTTTCTTATTCAACATTTATATGCCTTACATTTCCTTTGAATAGGCCGATTGAAATGTCGGTGTTTTCCTGCTCTGGTATGAGAAGTCATTTCCTCCGCATGACATTTAAAGTGCCTGCTTTGAGAAAAACAAAAGCCTCTCTTTTGGATCAGGGCTGGTATGTCTCTTGCAAGTCTCCTCCCCGAAATAAAGGAGGGGGAAAAAAAGAATTTGGCTCTTGCATCTGAAACAGATTAAAGTTTCATTTTTTTCCAATGCTATTCACTTGTTTAGGGTGTCTCCCACAAAACAACTGCCAGCAGCCAACACTCATTTATGGACGGAAAGTTTCCTAATGGTCATTTTATGCTCTCCAGAGTTTCCTTTGATTACAGAAACTGTTGTTTGCATATGTGATAGGTAATCAAAAGTGCAAGGTTACTTTGCCTTTATCACAAAGCACCATTAATTCTTATTCACTAAATCTTGGTGTTTAACAATGGTTACATGGATCATAAGATAACAGAAAAAGGGCTGTCATGTTTCCTGTCATTCACTTACAACTATAAGTGGAAGGTCTGTATTCTGCTTGACTAACTGTATGTAAAGATGCTTCTGGAAAGCTGGAATAGAAAGCTTGCTTGACAACAGTTACTGTTGGCAAAAAGCCATGAGCAGAAGTGTCTGATTAGAGACGTGGTGAATCTTTCAGTGATCACCTTCGTGCAAGGCACTTTAACAAGATGTGCATTGGTGTGTCTGATAGTAGACTGAGCGCTGTGAATATTAACTGCTACATGTCAGCTGCAGGGTATCATTCACTTCCATGGCTTCTGTGCCACTCTATATTGTACTCTTACGATAATTCAAATGTGTTTACATGAGAATTTTTTTCTATGGTGAAAAATAAACTTTTTTTGACAAATACCAGTGTTCATCAGGAATTTGTTTGCAATGTGTGTTGCCCTTGCATTTGCTTCAGCTTGGGTAACGGTAGATTTCTGTAAACTGGGATAGAAAAGATTCCTTATCCTTTGTTTCCTTGTGGAGCTGTTTTCCTAACATACAAACAATTTCCCTTCTTGCAACTTTTGTCTATTGCCTCTTGTCCTATCGCTGTGTGCCTCTGGGAAAAGTCTGGCCCTGTTCTCTGTGCCAGGCTTGTTAATACTTGCCTTGTAACAGGGTAGTCCCATACTGGACACAGTATCCAGTTGTGGTCTCATAAGTGCCAAACAGAGGAATAATTACTTGCTTTGTGTGGTTGACTACACTCTTGATGATACAGGCCAGTACATGGCTGACTCTCTGCTGCATGGACACACTGCTGACTCATGTTCAACTTGTTGTCCTTAACCCCTAGGCCTTTGCTGCAAAGCTGCTGTCTAGTTGGTGGGCTACAGCCTGGACCTCTTTGTTCTGCTGGAGCTACTCATCCCAGGTGCAGGACTATGGTACTGGATGGGAGCATTGGATGTTGTAAAGAAGCAGCAACTGATGGCAGGACAAATGGAGTGGATGGCTGTGGCAGGGACTTAAGAGTTCCCAGAGGTGGGAAAAAGGAGACACATTTGGCACTGTCAAGACCAGAGAAAGTGGGATTGTAACTGTAAAGGTGAGAGCCTGTGTAGATGGAGGATTGCTTCCAGCCTGGCTCTGAGAACCTCAGAATCTGAGTTGAGATCATCAGCAGATCAGACAAATCAGTGACTCGGCTACAGGCACAGAAGGTGGCACAGAGAGAGGTGAAACAACCAAAGGGACAGGGAATAGAAATACAACATAGATATTTTGAATAATGCTAAGACAGGCCTGTGCTCTGTCATTGAGAATTTGCAGAGAAATGAACATGCAGATAAAGTATCCCTTGGAAAGAGATACTCTGTGCTGTTTGCTCTGTTATTAGAGGAGCAGAGTTTGAAGCAGTACTGCTGTTGTAGTTAGTACAAGGCACTTTTTGATAAGCAAGTGCCTGGACAGCCCTTGTTCCACGTGATTGACTGCGAGCAACTTCCATCCTGGTAACTCATGGAGGTTCACTGAAGTGTCATTGCTGCTTATGCAAGAGCTACAGTAGAGAAGTAAGCTGGACCACTACCCATAATTCTGGGGGAGGTGTTGGATAATGTTTCCATTTGTTCTTAAGTAATGTGGAAGAATATAAGGGTTTTTATAGACCTATGTCTATACTTACCTGCATATATATGTATTGTGTGTGTATATACTTACATATCTAATGTGTATAGATGTACAGAGGTGTTTTATCTATGTTCTAGTTATTGTATATATTATATAGGTATGTATAAAAAATTTAATATCTTCAGCTGGAACCTTCTACAGGAGTGAAAAAAGCTGCCCTCCTTTCTCCTGTGTGTTTAAAGTCATTGTGCTCTAGCAGGGACTATATGATGGAAAGGATGGTGTGTGTGTGCACAGTGCCTGCAGCCAGACCCGAGCTTTGCTATTGATGAGGGCAGAGAAACTAAGTGGAGAAGGGTGAAATGTGCGGAGCAGAGGGAGTTTTAGCTCAGTCTAATGGCACTAGCTTGTATCAGGGAGTGCTAGACCCAGTGTTAGTGTTACGGCATCAAAGCTGCGTGATCACAGCACTGTCGCTTTTCCTTAGGCACTGCTCTGACCAGCAAGAAATGGGGTCCTTGGGGATTGCTTTGCCTTTAACTGTGAAACCTGTCTTTTCTAGGGATGGAGGCACCTGTCACAAAACCTGCTCTAATACTGGATTTAATAAAATACATCTGATAAATCCCAGGGAAGGCCAGTTTGAATTCAGTCTTTTAGTAGGCCTCTGGCACTGGAAAAATATTGTACTTGGCTTTTTCTAGTGTGTGTGCACTGTGGTTTTTCTTTCTAAGAGTATTTTGTCTGGAAATGTTTACCAGGTTTCTTCCTTAGCAGAAATGCTAAAGACTTAAAATGTGGAAGAAATCCTGCCAGGATAGTGTCTTTTTTCTAAGGAGGACGTGGGATATGTTCTTCACAGCTCATATGCCTGCTTTCATTTCCAGTCCTCATACATTTCTGTTAATGTAATCCTGAACTAGGATTTACTCTTTTGAAAAGCTTCCTGATAGGTAAACAGAGAGCCATATAGGGGAGAGCTGTTTACAGCAACAGTCCCAGAGAGGAAATTTTTGGCCATCTCCAGTCTAGTATTTGATTAAATGCTGCATGGCAAGCATTCCTGACTGATGTGCATATAAACAGAGAATTTTCTTTATCTATGATGTTTTTCATATTCAAGGTAACACAATGCTTGCACAAATGTTAATGTGAAAAATGTGGCTACTATGAGTGATTTCTCAAAGCGCATTAAATCCTCCACAGCGGTGCACACACTGGCTGTCAACAAGTGGTTTTGAAAACTTGAAAGCAGGGAAGGAATTTCAAATTGGGCTGGCATTCCTTTGGACCTTGGGCAGCTTTTCCCTCATATGACTGGTGTGTATATTCCTCGGTATGGAGGAACTACAATTCAATTCCCTTTTTGTTCCACAGAAGATGTGATGAACTGAACCATCTTTGTAGAGAAGTACACAAAATACAGTACCTTGAGAACCATGTGAAGCATCATTTGCAGGCCATCCTTGCCTGGATATTTCCCAGTGATGTTGGAAGCAGATAAGTTGAAGAGGTTGGCTCCTGCTTCTGTGCAGATGGCATGGACCAGCATTTTCTTTCCAACACCAGCAGGTCCAGCTAGTAACAAGGCTTTCGTCACAGGAGCCTTCTCATGGACTGTTTGGGAACCTGTAAAAAGTCGTAAGGCACTGTTATTGCTTTCATTTAAGTCTGTCATAAAGGTAGTGGAATGATTCTTCCTTTTTTCTTCACTGTAAATAATTTATAACGTGAATTCATTGTTTCCTTAATATGACATGAGTGCTTGAGTTCACTTTGGTATAACCAGAGCTGTGGCCATAGCGTATCGGAGTTAACATCCCTGTTTGCAGCAAAACTCTACCACCCTTATTTTTTACCTTCTGATGTGTGAACTTCAGTTCTAAATCTATGCAAGCTAAAAGAAAGGTAATTAATAGGTAAGTTTTTGAGGATGGACACAAGATATGAGCACTGAAATGGAACTGCTGCTAGTGGCTATGTGTATAGACAAGCCTGGTGCTCTGCTCAGGGACACTTGCCTTCAGTTGCACGGTGGTTGTTCGCTCCCTCCCTCAGCTGTTTGGCAGAGGTTGAGTTAGAGATGTACCTGTGGCTCTGACCTTTGCGTTTGTCAGAGCAGGCCCTCACTTTCTGCAACAGGACATCGGTGTGGACTCCCGTTGCACATAGGGCTAGCAGCATTCCTTTCTCCTCCTGTCTGAAACAACGCCTTCCAGCTTCCTCATCTTTAAAGAAAATAAACTAATGTATTACCTGTTGGGGCTGTGTTTGTCAGTGATGTTGAAATCAAATGCTACCATGTGTTTTATTTTCTCTCCTTTAACTTCTGCCTGCACTTCCCTTTTAGGATGATATTTCCTCTTAAATGTTATTGCTGTTCAGTGAACATTGGAGACTGACTGTTGTCACTTAGGCTAGCTCTGCTTCAAAATCCTTCACTGCTGATACCCCTCTATGCGTGCCTGCTGAGTGTGGTGTCAGCTCATGTGCAGTGGAGCCAATATATGGAACATGGCAGCTGCATGTTGCAGAGCAGGTACGAAGCATCTGCTAGGAGCAGGTGGATCCTTTGCTGTTGCCTTCATTATATTTGGGTGAGCAAATGCCAGAGTTGCTATGCTTCACTTGCTCTGCCAGCAGCGATGACTGCTCAGCATCTTTAAATCTGTTTCTATGGATGCTCCAGGTAAACTCATTCTGAGCTGTAAGAAATATGCTCCATCATCTGGGAAAATCAAGCAGAAATGCCTGTGTTGTAAAAACAGAACCACAGAGAGAGATTTAGGTGACTGACAGTGATAGAACTTGTCTTCCCTGCAGCTCTGTCACTGTATGGATTAAGCACAGGTGAACCTCCAGAGATGGAAGTAGCAGGAAATGTCAAATGCTTTATCCATACCCCCTGGCATTCCAGTAACGTCACTGCCTCAATGCCTAAAAATGTCCTGTGTCAGTAGTAGTGGCTGTCACAAAGTCAGATTTGACAATCCATGTGAGCGTCCACTACTTCTGCAGGTCTTTGGGACTGGTGTCTATCAGACAATGGGACTAGTGGGGGAAACTGGCCCCAGAGGTGATGGGCTGCAGAGGGAGCCTATGGTTTAGCCTGGAAAAGTTCTCAGGGTTAAGGGAGACAGCTAGGTAAAAAAGTATTTAAAACCAAATCCAGTCAGGCTGCCTGTCTGTGTCCTGATGGTTTAACATCCCAAATAAATGACAATGAATGGAGTGCTAAGATGAATGCCATTATTCCACCACTGCGCAGGATGTAGTGAAGTTGTCAGCCACCCAGGCTTTATTAATATTTGGTCTTTCCATACCAATCTATTACTATTACACATAGATTTATTACAAGGGGAGCAGCAGACTCCTGCGTGGTTAAAGATGAAGTATATCTTCTACTTCTCCTTTCAACTGCTTATAATTTTCTCAATGCCATTTAAGCTGGAGCTTTTCTTGCCATTAGATGACTATTTTGAGAAAAACTTTCACTTCTGCACATACACAATTATGTAATGATTAACTAGTTCTGAGGCCAATTAAGTAAAATGTCATCCATAACATATCACCCAAAAGGTGAAACATTCCTGTGCCTTTTTTTTTTGGCTCATGCAATACCTCTTTTTTTTTTTTTTATCAAAGGCATTTTTCAAACTGCTGTTGCAAATACATTCTGTTTGTTTAACTAGCGCGGGGTCTCTTCTTCCTAGATTTTTAGCCAATTTTATAAATGGCAGAAAATTTATGGGTTCTCTTTCCTCTTGCCTTGGGGGGGGGTGTCTTGGGGCTTGATTTCACTAGATTAGATGGTGTTAAAACATAACCTTGGAGGAGTTACCTGATATGTGAAATACCACACTGCAGTCAGTGCAGACAGGGATAACTGCTGAGCTCTCTCCTAGCTGGCTGTGGTCAAACTCACAGCCGGCCTCTGAGGATTTACCCGAAACCAGTCGAGAGTGTTTTAAGTGGGAAGAGTCCCATCTTGGTTGAAGGCAGGGGTGCTGCCAGTATCCTGTTTGTTAACCTGACTCTTCAGGTTGGTCTGTAGGGCAGCAGGAGCACTCTTCTCTACCCGAAACCCGAATGAAGCAGACTTGTGCACTGTTGCTCTGTACTCTCCAAGGCCCACCGAGCCTTTCTGGGGGATGCGGGAGAGCCACAGAGCAGCCTGAGTGCTGGTCCTGCTGGAAGGTGAGCAGAGGCGAGGGAAAAGCAGCAGCTCTGTGTCGTCTCTGCTCTATCTGCCAGAATAGGAGACAGGGAGACATCAGCCCTTTTGCCCTATAAAGGGGACCTGCAGACAGTGACACAGCCTGGGGGAGAATATGCCTAGTTTAAAACCTCCCTGAAATTCAGTCAGGAATGGAAAAGGATGCAAGTGAAGTATGAGTAGAAGCCCTTGAGATAGGCACTTCTTGCAATCACTAGAGTTTGGCTTAATGCCATTTCCAAGTAAAATGTGGGATAGATTTTTACATTAAAAGCAAACAACCCAACCCAGCAAAGCTTTGTTAGATATTGGCAAAGTCTGGCATAAGAATTGTAAGGGCATTTAAATGTTCTCTCTGATGTACAAAATGCGTTCAGACTAATTCCTTAAATGATTGCATTGTTTAGTACTGAGTAACATTAGCCAGCTTGTAAAAGGTAAATTGCAACCTTAGCCCTTCCCTTAACTTGATTAATTTTGATCACTGGAGCTTGTTTTAGCTATTATCTTTCCCAAGTGATTTCCTTTTATGTGCTGCCATTCACAAACTGTTAACATGCAAGCAGAGATGGTATGGAAATGCAATACCTGACAATAGCATGTGCAAGCTCCTTTATGCACTATTAAAATGATATGGTCTTCACTCACAAGGCTTAATTGAAAAACAATTATGCCGCAAAATGCTTTAGATTACGATTAATCAAGCCCTGTCAAAGCCAGTAAAAATGCATGTTACTGACAGGAAGCACAGCCATTGAATTCTGCCCTCTAGTAATTTTTGCTGTGCTCTTACCTAATGGCAATATTCCATACAGTGTTATTAGCTGTCTGACATCTGCAAGAGAGGGCATTGGCTCTGTATCTGCCTGACGAAGTGTGGTCCCCAGATAGCTGTACTCGCCTGTAGGGAGGAAGCACGGGCTTAATAAATGTGACACTGCATTGTTATAAAATGCATAACTCAAGTAATGAAAAACTACCACAGAATACCAATATAGCATGCTGTCAGCAAACCCAGTACCGTCAAGGGACAGGGACTCATACAGGGCAATAGTGTCGTGGAGTGTGGCCCTGAGAAATTTGAAAGGTGAACTGCAAAGGAAAATGAAGTTAAACACACGGTGGACTCTCCCTTCCAGACTGTGGAAAGTGTTCAGTAGAGCAGTCAGTCTCAAGTAACCTTTTAAAGAAACTTTGTGGAGAAGAATCATTAGTAGCAGCATAAATCACGCTGCTGGCAAAGGATTTCCAGATTTGGGATTTTGTAGGGCTGGAATCCCAGTGAACCATGCTCTATCAAAAGGATTTCAAAAAGGAGGAAAAGATATTTTAACAAGCTTTTTCCTCTGGCTGCATCACATCTCAGCTTCTCACTATGTTAGACATTTAAGTGTGTCACCTAATTTGGTGGGGCTCTTTGCTTTGCAGTTCACCTTTTTCTAATTCAAAAAAAAACAACCCCTCCACAAAATAATCCCAGATAATTAAAAATCCCTGACATGAACTGAAAAGATCTAATCTTGCCTCAGCTCTTATTACAGAACCATAATCACATTGCTTGCCCTGTCAAAGTCCATGTACAAGACATGTTAGAGAACAAAGATACAGAAGGGTGGGCCACAAGCAAGAAAACTAGTTGTGGCAAATGTAGTCAATGATTACTTTTTTGCATAATACATGTTATAGTGAATATTATTGAAAAATATTGTGTTTTATTGGAGATAAAAAGGGAGAGCACTAGAGCTTTCTTGAGCAGAGGTAAATTAGCAATGGTTAAGAGAGAAAGTGGAGTTGTTATTTTGGGGGCAAAAAGGCAGAAAAGCCCTGGTGCAACTTCCCCATCCCCTCTGAAGAATAAAATTAATTTCAGGTTTTATCTTTTATTTAAGGAGAAATCAAAAGAACTGGATAGGAATTAATCTTCACAGATTTAATTAGAAGGCATCAAAGGGTTTAATTGCAACTGAACATAAATCACAGTGGATATTCTCTGACTAATTTAGATAAGGTCACCAAGAAAATTAGTTCAGTGATGTCGGTTTGTCATGGGGGGGGACATTTTGGTGCCTTTACTCGCTGTGTAGCGCAATTCCACTCTTTGTCCTTTCCCCAGGAACCAGGAGTGAGTGACCTTCCTTAGACTTCAGCCCTGTAAGAGCAGAGCAGATAAGGACTTTTTGTTCTGTGGGCTTTGACTGTGTCCTTGGAATCTTAAAGGTGGAGGTTTTTTGGTATTTAAAAAAAGTTGGATCCAAATCCTTGGCCAATTTTAAATGCCTTGTGTAGCTTGTTCTGGCAGCTCAAGCAGCATGACTGAGTTCTGAGGTGGAAAAAGCTGGCTTTGATGGTCTGGGCCAGCTTCTGTGCTGGGACACGTGGGGTACCTGGCACAGGTGTAGGCAGCCAGGTGAGTATCGCTGGACTTGGCACTACTGCGCCCAGTATCTTCTGCTGGGAAGTGAATATTGCTAGTGTAACCTGGAGCAGCCCTTGTGTTGCTTTATGATGCAGAGGAGCCAATGCTTAAAACCTCAGAGTCAAGGGAAGACGGTCCAAAGCCATCTCAGCTGTTAATTATTATCCACTGGCTAAGATGTGCTTTCAAAATATCTGTGGTAGGGAATGTCTGTTGGACTGAAGTGACCTTGATGGTACTGGTTGGGTGAATGAAGGAACAATGGAAATCTTCCATTACTTTACTTCATGATCTTTAGTGAGCATAAAATGGATGGAATACTTGTTAATTCAGCCTTCAACAGTATGGGCAAAGACTCTGAAGGCAATAATCGGTGCTTTTAAGAGTTTATATAAACATGGCATTTGGAGGTGATGTAGGAGAATACATAAGTACATACTACTTACAGCTGGTGATGTTGTGGCTTCTGGATGTCTGCAAGTTTAAATAATGGTGGCATTAAACAAGTGAATTTTTGTTTTTTTTGCTGCCAATATTGCTGTAACTGCTGTATGGCACCAAATGCTTTTGGAGATGGTGTCAGACCCCTGTGCAGCCTGCAAGTGGGTTTTTGTTTGCTCTGTGCAAAGCATGGACAAGCATGTCTGACTGCAGGTGCAGGTAACAGAAACTGGGCAAGACGACTATGAAATGCAGAACTAGGCAGACACAGACCTTACTCAAATCAAGGGCCAGATATGCCTCAAAGCACTGCTCAAAGTTCAGGGGCAGTCAGGGAGGTGGCGGTAAGGGAGTGATCTTCTCTTCTGAGTGAACAAACGCTGAAGGTTGGAGGCATGGTATTTACTGTTCTCTGGGAAATATTCTGGATGGATGATGACAGCCAGTCTGTTGTATTTGCAGTGTCTTGCTAATGCCTGGCCAGTGCTCCTTAAAGGATGTTCTGCTTCGACCTCAGGGTAGTTTGTGACATCCAAAAACATTCCAGGCTTCCAGGTGTGAGTGCTTTGAGCCAAGCACCAGCTCTACAAACCTGTCCTGGTTTCAGCAGCAGAAGTGAAAGATACTAAGCACCCTGCAGCAACAGACCTGATTTGCATACTTGGCTTTAGATATTCAAATTTAAAAGTCCTGAAAGTGTAATTACTCACTCTTGACTGGAAATAGGGGTCAGCGAACACTGAATGGCTGGAGGTTTGGTTAGATTAAACACCATATTAGCTGTAAAATGTGTACTTTACCAACATAGTCGGTGAGATTCACAGTCCTGGCTTTTATTAGTAATCCTTCTTCCACTAGTTCTTCGTACAGAGAATCGATGGTCCTACGGACAAGAGACATCATTCAGAAATTCTAGGGCACTATAAGTAAAAGCTTAGTTCTTCAATTGCTGGAATAGCTTCGCAGTTATTTATGCTTCCCCAGCTTTATAACTGTAGTTTTGTAGCTCAGAGGAAAAGATGATTAGCTCCATCAATATGAAATCAATAAGTACCATTTTCTGCGTTATGGTAAGGAATGTCTTTTACTACCTCACACACTGCATGGCTCCTGCTCACAGATTCCATTACCCATTTTCAGGTGATGCAAGATCAGTTATGACTTGTGTAATAGACTCATTCATTAATATCAATTACTGGAAAATTATTTTTAAATTATGTAATAATAGCAATCCTAACACTACTATACCTACTCACTTAGCTCTCCAATTAGCAGTAATTCATTAATTCTTCCTGGAATTTATTCTGTTTGCAATATACAGCCTCATCTCATCAGGAACACACTAGAAATGAGTCCCTCAGAGCAAGCAGTTGTCCATCTACTGCAGCGTTAGGGTGATGCTGGCCAAAGGAGAATCGGGGAAAGACATACAGTGGCAACTGTGGCATAAGTTTTCCAGTGGAACGGTTTCTTCCTATCTCCATTAGTGGCTGGAAACAGCTCCCAGTAACTGAGGATTTAATACACTTATATTTGTATCCAGTTTTCTGTTGGCGTTCCCCTTAGACTCTCTTTTGGAGTTCTATCTAAATGTTAATTTCAATTACATATTTGGTACTAGGTTCTACAGATTGATACTGCTTCAAGAATTACATAAAATGAATAAGCCTGTTGGAAATTCTTATTGTTAGTGTGAACAATATTGATTTGAACCTTTCTAGGTCTTTCACTGTTTGTGTACTTTTCGTATCCTTTCTCTTCAATATCTGAGCTTTTTTTTGTCATTGTCACCTATCTTAATTGGGACATTCTGGTATTGCTACAATAAAAATATTTAATAATTACTCTCAGCTGGCTAATAAAACCATATATAATTTGAGTTCTCCAGCCCTTTTCCATTTCAGCTGGGAAGTTTTATGTTTATGCAGTGTTAGTGGCACAATTAATATAGAAGTAGTAATAAGGAAATACAAAATTTAACGCAGCTTCAGTAGCTTTGACTTTGTCGCTCTGACTCTTGCTTTCATTCTCAGTGATTTTATATTGAGTATGCACCATAAAACAAGCAGAAGGTAGAAAAGGACTAACCTGACAGTTCTGTTGGGAGCATGACTCCTACTTTTCTTGTCTTATTATTTTTACTGTGCAAGCTTAATGATGCATGCCCTGAGTCTCCTCCAAGTAAGTGTGATGTGATCAGTCCCTGACTAAAGCCCCCTGTGCCCTTTCCACCATGTCAAAAATGAGATGAACCTGAGCTTTTCCTGGTTGTTTCTGAAATACTTCCTCCTTCCCTGCTCAGTGGGGAAGAGAAAAGCATTGGAGGCAAAATGCCACGTAAACTGTGATTGAAAGCCAGCTACTAAAAAGTCTGTGCTCTTAAATGGCTGCCTGTTTATTAAGTTTGTTTATAAGAAGCAGGTATGTGCAAGAGTAATTTTAAAAGCACAGAATGTATGCATACTTGTTAGACTTCGGTACTGCTCTTGTAAGAGAGGTCATGCTCTGTTATAATCCATGACATGTTTATTTTAAATATTTGCTTGGAGAGGCTTTTTATTTTAAAGCAGGTAAAGAGATCATTGATTGTGTAGCGCTAGCACCCAAATGATCTAGTCCAGGTCTTGCTGTGCATGTCTTGTACAACTGGCTTTGTGGGGTGAATCCCCTGTGCTTCCTCCTGCAGTGACTGAGTGTGTTTGTCTTCATGCTGTTCTCCAGCCCTGCTCCCTTAGAAGCTGGGTCTGCTCCTGCCCTGCACTGCTGCTGGGTCAGCAGGTCCCAGCAGTGATCTCTCTGCGTAGGTGTCTGCATTATGTGTACAGGTGAAAAGTGGCCGGATTATCAGTGAATGCATCACGAGCTCACTGAATGTACTGTCAAAAGAAGAAATCCTCTCAAATCCTCCAAATAGAATAAGGGTGCTTAAAAGAGCAAGGATACACAAATTGCCAGGTCTGCCAGAACACTTATTGATAAAGAAGACTGATTTATATGACATGTACACTTTACCTAAGATGTGAAGGGTGATTTATAGAGTACAGGCACCTGCCTGCAGCCTCACTTATTGGGCTTCAGCTGGGATGGAAAATCTGACAGTCAACAAAACTGCCAGGTGCTTCTGCACCTGCAGAGAGGATGGGAAAGAGACAAACAGGGCGATATCCTGCCTAAATATTGCATATGTTTAGTTTTGCATACTGGAATTAACCTGAATGAAGTTAATGGAGACTGGCTCTAGTGCTGTCATGTTGCAGAATGGGGCTCTTAATTTGTCTGTGGTGTTGAATATGGGGGAGAAACAAGGTTTGTGCTGTGTACCATTAAATGAGTGCTTTGTTGCCCTGTTGTTTGTGGTGCTGTGAAGCCACCAGTTGGGCAGGGCAGTGGGGAGGTTCCAGTGTTCACTGCAAATGTAAAAAAGGTTTTAGCTAAAATGTATATGCTTGAAGTTTGTGAAAGATTTCTTTTTTTATCATCTAGGCTTTTTATGGATGTTTATAGCTGTTAATAAAGAGGTTTTATTTTATTGTAGGGCTCCTGATGCTGGTAAGCACAGCAATGTTGAGATGCTTTTTGTGTAAGTAAAAACTAAAAGGGTTGACAGCACATCTAATGCCAAGAGGATGCAGTCTCTCCTTGTCTGAATCTCAGGTAAACAGGTCCTCTCTTTACCTGTCAGGAGTTAGGTCTTCCTCCATCTCGGGTATCTTTTTCCTCTTGGTCATCTTTTCTTTCTGAGGATCGCAAAACCAGGTAGGAATTAGTGACCTTAATACACTTAACGCACATGTACATATTTGAATGTACCGAAGCAACGGGAGGGCCAGAAGAGCAAATGTTTCAGTGCTTGAATGTGGCCCTTGTTACTGGAGGAACTGAAAGGGAATCATTGTATCCTTGAATGCTCTGAGGGAAGGAAGGCAGGAGGTATTCCCATTTGTAAGTGCCTCACCAAGGCACAGGAGAGGTGAAGCACCCCTGGGCTTGAGAAACTTTGTCCAACCTGCGGATCTCATGTAGATTGATTCCTTCCTTTGTGGAGCACAAGCTCTCAGGTTGAGTGGGTATGGCCCTTACTTGAGAAGGAAGCAGGAAGGAAAAGGGTGTGGGGTCCAAGTAGCTGATCTAGAGGCTGTTTGTGTGTGTGTGGTGTTTGGTTGGTTGTTTTTTTGGTGGTGTGTTTTTTTTTTTTTTGTTTTGTTTTTCACATTGGGGTAAAATATGTAAGCAACTTCCCTGAGGTCACACAGGGTGCTCACAGCTGGACCAGGACCTCAAACCAACCCTCCTGAACCTCTGGCTAGCCTCCTGCCCACCAGATATCCTTTCTTCCTTTTCTTTCCTAATGCCTTGGGGAAGAAGTTTGACAAGGTCAGAAAATCATGACCTGCTCTTCTCTTGATATTCTCACCACACCTTCACTAAGGGAAGATTTTGACTTGTGTGACTAGCTTGTTTACGTACGGCAAAAAACCCATGGAAAACATAAATAAGAAAGATGTGAATAAAGCCCCTCCACTAATTACAGCTCACAAGCCATAAATATGGTTAGGGGATAATTAGCAGTGCAGAGATCATCATTAATCCACGTTAGCGCCCAGCACTGGTGTCCATACTTAAGTTCTGCAAAGCACTTCAGGGTGACTTCAGTGGAACTGTTTACACAGCAACATTCACGCACCATGAGACTTCTTTACTGGCTTAAATTTAGGCATGTGCTTAAATGCTTAGTTGATCAAGACAGCTTATTCTTTCCAAAAGTTTGTTTGATTTCCTGGGAATACCATCGTTTGCTTTATTTTCCTCAATAGCGAATACTTCTGCAGAGCTCTAGAGGTTATGTTGTTGAGTTCAAAAAAAAAAAAAGTCCTACCCAATTAGCTGGAAAATGCTGGGTGTTTCTTACAATGGATAAGCAGTATTCAGAAATCTATCAATTTTAAGTTTTCAGGGACAGTTGCAATGTAAATAACCTATGGTTGAATCACCTGTTAGCGTTTGCAGTGCAACAAACATAATCTAGATGAAAACGCAAATTAAACCCAGAACTATATGGATAAGCTAACTGGGAAAAAGTGATGTCTTTAAATTCTGGATTAGAATAACGCAAACAACTCTGTTTCTGCAGAACTATGCCTCAGGTTTCTTTACACAAATAAGCTTGGCAGTAAATACTCGTTAGAATAAACCAGTGGGGTTTTGTTTTAAAGAACAGGAATGGGAAGAACAAAGCATGTGCCATGCTGTTTTAATGACTGAGGAAATATTGTGACTGTCAGCGGTTTATTTCTGGTGTTCCTCCAGCTTTGTCTCTTTAACCTTTCTTCCAACAAGCTAGAAATTGCATATCATGGGGTCTGACTGGGAAGAAAAGCTCATTTCTACCTATGTAAAGACACTAAGCATATGTTGAATTTATTGGCCAACTGGTATGGTCCTCGAGGCAGTTTCACCAGTAAAATAACTCAAGAGCAAAACAAAAATGAACTATGCAGGGGAAAAAATGTGTTTTCCTAATTAACGTGAGCATTTATGGGAATTTGGCAAACACTGAGATGCGATAAGGGGAGATATGAATTGTAGACAATGGCTTTCCTCCAAAATGTCTTACTGGGAACTGCTTTTATTTAGAAAATGATAATGTTTAATGAATGTGAACATGCTCATCATTTAAAATGGAAATCTCCTTGTTTCTGTCTCTGAAATGTCAGTCTAGCTTCTGTGTAGCCATCCATTTACTTGGTTATTTTCTGCTTTGCTAAGTCACACGTAGTGAACTGCAGTAGTTATTAGTTGGCAGATGACAGAAGACTGTCTTCCGTGCTCAGTGTGATATCTTGTCTTTCTGTGTGGGCTCAGGAAAAAAGCTGAGTAGCTCAGAGGTTGCTACAAGCAAACATGGACCTGATTTCAGAGCAGATTCCAGAGCAGAGAGTCTCTGGCACCAGAAGTGAGATGGTAGCCAAAATGACTCATTGAGGGAACTGTTGCACTTTGGAAGTGCAGGATCTGTGGCACCCTTCGGCTGTGATCATACAAGTCCTGCTGCCATCACAGCTACTGCCACCAAGTATGTGGAAAAGTAACGAGAGGAAAATACTCTTGTGCTTTAAGGGAAATGACGGTGTATAAGCAGCAGTCTATGAAGAGTGTGAGTGGATTCCTTGGATCATGTGTGATGCTTTGATGGGAGGCTGAACAAGTGCAGATTTGCACTGTGTGCATCTGCTCTGGGTTGTGAAGTCTTTCCTGGCAATGCCAAGATATAGAGAGCAGCTTCAGGTATTTGCACTGAAAAAGTCCTGAGACAAAGATGTTCCCACTGATTATTAAGCTCTTGCTAAATGAGGGGTTCTGGTCTGTAATCCCTGCTGGATTTAGCTAGAGCATCCAATTATGTTACAGCCCCCACAGCTGGCTGAGCTCTGGGTGCTAATCTCCATCAGATACAGAAAATCCAACAGGGTTTGTGAATCACGGTCCTCAAAGCCAGCCTTTCCTCAGTTCTGACCCAGCTTGTCTTCTGGCTTTATTCACTATGGCTTTGCTATTACCAAGTCTCTAGACTGATGTCAATATTCTTGTCATAGCCATTGCTATAGTTAACCTCCTGGGGTTTTCTTTGCTTCTGCCTGGCTGCATCAAAAAGGGATATCCAAAGCTGCACTGAGATGCTGGCAAGGCCTATTTCAGAAGCAACTATTGCACTCTTAGGTTCCCATGTCCCCTCTTTCTGTTTTTTCTGAATTCTGGCCATGCCTTTGTCTGTGTGGGGGTGTGTTTACTTGCAATGGGTTGCTTTACCTGCAGTTGGATAGGAAACAAATCCTTGGAGCAGCAGAGCAGGAAAAGCAGCACAATGGACTTGACAAAAAAACACTCTGCTAAGCACTCAAATGTAATTTCCAGGTCGGTAACTGGAGAGAACTGATTTTGGTAGCTCTTGAGTTGGGTGGAAAGCCTATTTAAAGAAGGTAGGTCTGTAGTAGTTTACCTAGCTGCAGATTTCCAAGGGAAATGGTTGCTAAGCCCTCTGGGTACCATGGTTTGGGTACCTGGCATCCATCTGGAATAAATACTTGTAAAGCTGGTGGGTTGTGTTGAGCCACCCAAATCAGAAGCTTGGGCTGTTGGCAGAAAGGGGTGGACTCAGAACAACAGCATTTCATTAAAAAGTTTGCGCTGGTACAAGGATGCCACCAACTTGCTAGAAATTGAATACTTTGGAAAATGCCAGCCCTTTTTCATTCTCTTCAGGTGCTTTATAACACACTTTGTTAGGCTGGGTGGGGACTTAGATGTTCTGACGTCTCTTTGCCAGCCTTCCTAGACACCAAGGCCATATCCTTCACTAGGATCAAATCTTTCCTCAGCCTGTTTTTACACAGGTGCTTACAATCCCAGCTGGCTGATCTATGGCTGGGCAGATGATAAGCTGTGACTGTGCATAGTGAAGAAAAGTGCAATTTGCAGGAGAGCTGAATCACATTCCTTTATTTCTGTTGTATCCTCATTCCCTCTCCTGCGACAGATCTGGAGCAATAGGAGTCCAGCGCGGTGTGTCTCTTAAAAAGGACACTTGTGGTCTATAACTTGTCAATGCTGGACCCTAAGGACAAATAACAGTGGGACAGTCTGTGGGGTGAGAAGCTTTCAACATGGGCAGAGGGGCAGGATCCATGCCTCAGATGATAGCAGGGTGGCTTGTTCCATACTAGGTGAGATCCAAGCAGTTTCGGTATTTTCAGACCAGCACTACTGGTCTGGAGACCCGTTTATAATGAGAAGAACGATTTGCCTTTCCACCCAAGATGATTCTTCCACAAAGGTGGGAAATGGGTTTTTTATCTTCAGGGGAAATAAGAGCAATTCTTGGTAGGGTTAAGTGTCAGCTTGTAGTGTTAAGTGGTATTTGAAGGTCTGGAGTCAGTTACAAAATTCAGCCTAGAAAGTACAGTGCATGGAAATAAAGGAGTGGTCTACACATATGACTGGATCTCTTAAATTTTATTTAAGACCTGAGCCATCAGAAACACTAACTGGGAGGGAGCAGTTAGCTTCCTTATGCTTTCCCTTTAGAGTCCAATTCCAAAATGTCATTGCTGAATTCCCTACAAAAGAGACTTTCAGACAGGATTTTGAGCTCAAATAATTTGCTGTGGGTCACGTAGATTTTTTTTTTTTTTTTTAATACGGACTTGAAATAATTTTTTAGAGTTGTACACTACTTATCCTAAGGCTTGCTTAAAAAGGTAGAGGACATCTGCCCTTGGGTAGTGACTTCTTTGCCATCCAAAAAAGCCCTAGTTCTACTGTGGTGTCTTCCTGCAAAGAAAGTAAAAGAAATCCCTTCTTACAAAAGGTGAGATGGTCAAATGTGGCATTGTGAATTGGGGTATATGCCCCTAGACAGAAAACTCCATTTTTAAGAATTCACTTAAAGAAATTACCCTTGCTGCCTGTTCCCTACTGACAGAGTGCAGAAAAAGTTTTGTATTCTCTGAAGAATGTTGAATCCTCCTGAGAATGCTTTGCAGAATATCACTTTTGGGCAAAAAAAAAAAAAAAATTACATTGTGCTCCAGATGTATTTGTGTGTACAGTGAGAATCCAAACCCACCATTATTTCACACTGTGTAGTTCAGAGGGTGGATATATGGGACCCAGGATGTGGTAACACAAGCTTTGGAAAAACTACGGGAGTTTTGCTGAATAACAAATTCATAAGCTGCTTCCAGAACTTTCCAGACCATTTCATCCTTCTGGTACAGGTTAGCTTTTCATAAAGCAGATCTGAAGCCTGTATGCACAGCTATGCACACACTATTGGTTTATGGGTTGAGATATTTATGCAAATACTAATTAGAAAAAGTCTTTGTCAATGCTGATTAGATGTCTCAAATAGCTTTGCACAGGGAAAGGTGGGCTTTGACTAAAACTGGATACCTCCTTGCATTTCCCACCCCTAAAACAGAACTAATTTTTTTTCAGAGAAATTCTTTAGGGAACTTGTATTATTTAATTAGTACTTATCTCTTCCTTTCCTTCATTCTCTCAGGCTACTGGTACAACTTGGGAAAACAAAAGTTAAATAACCTCCCTCCACCCAAACCCATTCCAACACTATATTTAAGGAAAAAATACAATGCTAACATAAAGCTTTATAATTCCAGTGTGACATTTTGAGGCATTTTTGACCAGCTGATGTAAATGCTCATGACAACTTTGGGAGGATTGTTGCAATATTTTGTCTGTGTATCTTCAGTGTCCCTAATTTTGAAACAGATTTATCAACCCAATTGGTCTCAGTTTTCAGGGTTGCTCCAGTCTTGCATTATTAAATTGCACCTGCACCTTTGTTGGGTGACAGAGCATTTTTAAAGAGAATTTGAGTAGAAGTAATACAACAGCAAGTATTTGCATGTTAAAGGGATTATAGAAATGAAATACAACATGAGATTAGAGCTGGCTCTTTGCCCTGAGCATTTTAAGTGGATCTGCTGATTGAATGGTAGGGTCTGTAAGCTTTGAGTTATTTTGTGCTGACATGATCTATAGTTTAAATGCTTGGGTAAGGAATTCAGGGAACTGTGAGCTGTGGAATTCTGCATGTGGTAATGCTGTGAAACTAGATGTGAACATGATGGGTGCTGGGCTTCAGTGGGTAACACACGTTAAAATAATGTACGTCTTTAACCTATTATATAATAAACTTGGCTTAATTGTGAGTTCCCAAACCCTTGAACAGTAAGTAGTAACATAGTAAAACAACGTGTACCTGGCTGCATGGGATCTGTGTTGTACAGATAAATGAAAGGTTACAACAAGACATTCAAAGGGATTCTTTTTTTTGTGTACAGTTTTGAAACACATTAACCAGTCCTCATTTAGAAGGAAAACAGCCAGGGCAACTTGCTGGCATGCAGATCCATGTCTGCCTTGGAAGACTGTAGTAATCAGAGCCTGTCACATTAAAGGGAAGGACTGTTTGGATTTTCCTGTTTGACCAGATCGGAGGATTTTAAGAGGGTGTGTATGCCTCTTGGAAATCTGAACTGTCATGTAATGATTTATTTGTAGAATAGTTCAACTTGTCCTAAGTAACATTTATAAAGGGTAAGGAACAATAATAGCAAAGGAAAGCCCTGAAAAAACCATAGGTGAACAGATTTTTAAATGATTCTGACTTGAGATTCAGTAAATGTTCAGGGTGGACATTTTGACACTGATAGGGTTCGCACTGAATATCATTGTATCTGGGCAGAGAACTGATATTTACCCTGAATTCTCACAACTTGTTTCTCTTACCTTTTTATTTCCTTTTTTCTGTTTGTTACTCTTCTCTCCATCCACAGCCAGTTTGAGATTCTCCAGTTTCTGTTGCATCAATTCATCAACCTATCGAGATACGCACAGTTGAATCTTTCTAAGTTTTCTGTTCTGCCACCACACTTCAGACAAATGTTCAGCTAAACAACTGTTAAAGCAAAGAACAGATAGTAGGGACTCTGGAAGGAGGTAAGGTCTATGCTAGGGCCGGTTCTTACAGCTGTAGAAAAAACATATACAGGCAATGTACATTATTAGTGTCTTCTTACTATTGTAAGCACACCTGCACTCTGATCTCTTCCTCCAGTTCTTTCCGTTTCTCTTCTTTGATCAGCTCCGGGTCATGATCCTGGAGAAAATCCCATCCCTCGTCTCTGTTCTGCCAAATGGCTGTTATCCACAAGAAAGAAAAAAGGGGGGAAAAATGTTACAGAAGCTATTGGTTTCTCCAACTGCTTCTGGAGGCAAAAAATATGTAGTGTGGGCAGCTTTTATTAAATTATTAGCTGTAGAAAGTAGCAGGCTTTAGGGACCCTTGCCAAGTTCAGAGCCCTGTTGTGTGAACTTCTGGAAATCTCGAGGTTAAGTTTTTGCCTTGGGCTGTAAATTTGTATCCGATTTCAGGAGGATAATAGGATATGGAGGCTGTCATTTTCTGGTTGTAAAGCTGTATGCCTGGAGTGGTGCTCACCTTCAACAACAGGTAGTACAGTATTGGCAACCTGTGTCGTGCCTGATACTGGCAGCGTTCTTCTGTCTGCTTAACAGCACCATGCTTAAATCTTTGCCGTGAAGAAGTCAAAGATGACTCCTGTCTGAGGAGTGTGCTCTCTGTTCATGTCTCTTGGCTGGCATAATGCAGGCTTGGTGGACAAAGAAAGGTGTTTAATTTAAACCAAGAAGTTGTCTTGTTCTCTCCTGCTTAGTTATCAAATGCCAAGTTAAAGCTGCTGCAAGCTTCTGAGTTAGCCTTTGTAGTAATTCACGTCAGGCTGAAATATGGGCCAGGAGCACTGGAACAGGCATAAAAGCCTGCCCTGAGTGCATGGAAATGGGAGCTGAGGTGACAGTGATCCTGACGCAGCCATCATCTGTATCCAACCCACAAGTGACATATGGCCACGCAGAGTTCAAACTCTATCTGGGCAGTCTTGAGCTTGATACAGTAACTGAGAGGCAGTCCGAGTCTTTTTGGAAAAGAGACATTGCCCACCTGATTGTGGGGTGTTACTTAAAGCAGTCTTACTGTTGTGCAAAGGGTAAGTAATAAGGAGACCAAACTCCAGGAACAAATTAAGCTTGTGCAAACTGATGATCAAAAAACCCATGTTTACGGTAAAGTAGCTAAATATCCTGAGATGCAGCTCTTTATTTTTGTGGAGGCAAACTGCAATTTGCTCCTTAGAAAGAAAATTACACACGGTCAGGCAAGCTCAGTGCATCTCTGAATTCTCTGCTGTTAGTAAAAGGCACCATTTCTTTAAGTGGAAATGCCTCTCTGCTTTCTACATTTTTTGAACTAATTTAAAAGAGGACAATTAATGTCTTTCATTTCCTTGCATTTTGAGCTCTGATAGTATCTTTATAAATGACAGCTGATCTCCAGCAGTATGTGCTAACTCAGTTTCCAGATGATTTAAAATGACAGTGTTCCACTTTAAGTGATAGGCTCCTTTATGAATCTGTTTTGTACAGGGCACTTTTTTCTGTACCTACTGCCATTTCTAAGGCACTATAAATTCAGGAAGGTTTTCACAGTACCCATAGGAGATCGTTCACGTTTTAGTCCAGTTAATATAATACTGGCTGCTATTTCTATCCCCCATGAATTTACAGAGTCCAATTTCGTGCAGCGTATTTGTGGCTTTACACATAGGGAATAGTTTTTGCAGGTGAGTAGTCTTAATTCCATAACTGAAAATAGTAGAGATGGAGAAAGTCAGTGGATTTTTTGGTAATGAGGAAAGAAACTCAAAGGTACAGACACTAATTTCTTTAAATTACTTGCGTGTCATCAGATGGCATGACAGATGTCACGTAATATTTCAAGAGGGAAAGCTGATTTGCCCTAGTTAAAAGGTACCTCCTCCAGGGTTACCAGCCTGGAATTTCAGCCTTGGGGAATGGGGAATATTACATGGGAGTTATGTGAATTTTTAAGCACTTTCCTGACTGGGTCAACAGGTTCCAAGTGTAACATTTTCACAGGAGTACTAGGTTTTATGTGTTTATTTTTCATAGAGAGGTACATAGATTTTTGTTCTGTTTTTCTAATAATCATTCATTGTCATTTTGTAAATTGATTAGCAGTTAATATCCACTGCAGGCAAACCAGTGACAGTCCCCACAACTCGGGCAGCTGTCTCTGACATTACCTGGCAACGGGTTTTCCAAGTGCTATATTAGCCACTAGGTTAGAGGTCCCTAATTTTAGAAAAGAGATCAATAACTCATAGGTGTTAGATGCTATGTTATTCTTTTATAGATCAACAAAATGTTTCAAAGTTATTTTTGAAGCAAGGTCAGGAGGCTAAGGATGTTACGTTTTCACTGGCTGGTCAAAAGAGCCTGGTATTTTGTTACAGAAATGATCATCCAGCTACGGGAGCTATTTTTGTGCATGTGTGTACGCAGTGCAATTTATATCACCTATTCTAAAATAGTGCATGCTTATCTTTAGATTATTTTAGATGCATACTTCTCTAGCTCAGGACTCAAAAGACAGCCCGGTTACACTAACGTGGTGGCTAACTTCACCATCGTAGCAGTATTAGTTTTCACTCTGCAGACTAGTTAGTAATTCCAATATCTCTGAATTTCAGAGAACAGTTTGTGACTAATATGTTGAAAAAATATTTATCTGAAGCATGAAGCTTTTCTTAAAATGGCTACTTTCAACCTCCTAGCAAAAGGATTTGAATCTTTTGACTCCTGTTTAAAAACCACACGATATCACCATGTCTTAAAGTTCGGGCCATAGGGTATTTGAGTTGAATTCAACTATCCTCTGCAACACCAAGCACGTCAAATATCAACTGGCCATCTGTATAATGGGGGAAACAGCACATTGCTGCCTCACGGCACAGGGTGCTGCAAAAATCAGACCCATGAAAGATGGAGGTAATGATTCAGACTGCTTACCTTTGCTCCACCTAAACTCTTGTTATTCCAGTGTAAAAAGTTGATGTCACACAGAAATTGGCTGTTTCCAACAACAGTATATAAAATGTGTTTTAGATAGAGCTTGGCAAATGTAGTTTAGCAACTAGCAAAACTGCCAAATACAGTTTTAGGGGAATAAGTCTTCATGAATTCCAGTGAAATTTAGGTAGTAGGTCTAGCTTGGCGGGGGGAAGGAAATAATTGGAGTGGAAAAATCTGTAACTGAAATGCTTAGATCTCTGTGAAAACTGATCTACATATTTAAAAATATTTAAACTAAGAAAAAAGAAATCTGTTTCAGGGGATGGCAAGACTTTCCTAATAGTAAGTGTTGAGGGGGTTGTGTGAGTGAAAAAACAAAAACGCTTGTTGTTTGATCAGCTGTCACTTCAGCAAACTTTAGATAAACTCATAAGGGTCTTAAATTATCCCATTGTAGGTATCTGATACAAACCTTTCTTAATCAAGTTCCCTTACTTCAATGATGTTTTTAAGATTTATCCACTAATAAATCTGAACTTCTTTGCAAATTGTGATAGTAATTGAGCTACTTTTACATTAGAACAGAAAAAAGTTCTCAGTGTAGAAAGACCAAACTCAAACCTCTTTTTTTCCTAAACAATTCTGCTACTGAAATGAAAGGAGGCTAAAATAAAAAATACAAGAAACTGCCCACACTGATCTGGTCAGAAGTTGTTCTAGATTTGATTCTGGAGGCCTTGAAAAAAGGAACCTTATCCATGGCCAGATTAAAAGTAAAATTATTCTGAACAACCACCAGGTAGTATTGTGATAAAGGGTGTCCTGCAATAAAAAGCACTTAGTGCTTGTGAATGAGGCAGGAGACTGCTGCGTGGAGAAATTAGCAGCTGTTTACTAAAAATAAATATGGTGTCAAATAGACTTGGTTCCCTAGGAGGGAAAAAAAACCCCTAGGCCTGAAGTTTAACGGAGCAGCTATAGAATCTCGCTTTGCGCAAGACAGAACTGTAGCTATTCTTTGAAGCTTGCAAGAGATCCCTTTCCACTCAGGATTTCTGGTTGTGCTCTGTGCAGAACACGGTTCCTTCTTATGTGCCTTTAGAGCTGGGGGAATAGCTGTCAGTTCTGGCAGGATGGGCTGGAGATGAGCATCGGTGTTTAACTCTGAATGCCAGGCTGGAGTCTTTATCTACCACAAAAGGATGCTGCCCGTGCCTGACCTACGTGAGCACATTATTGCAGTGTATCTGCAAGGGCTGCCAGTACGTAATGGGGAGATGGAGGTACTCACACTAACTTTAGGTCATCCAATTCAGGTGCCTGAATAGGAACTAAGGCTCCACAGACAGTTAATAGGCTGCTGAGCTGCCCTTGGGAGGCCTGTGTGAGATATACAGGAACACAACACCCCCAATACAGCACTCATCTTCATGCAAAAAAAAGTTAGCATGAGTACCCCCAAATGTTATATACTTGCAGAGCTCAAAGTGGTTATTGTCAGGAATGGCAGTGCTGGTGTTCAGATACAGTTTGGGTGACAAACGTGTCCCCCACCCTCTCATAAACTCACTGACTTGTCATTACTTCAGATCGTCACGAAATCTGGGAGTCTCTATTCCTATTTAATTATTGTTTTCTGTGGTGTTTTTATTCCTAACACTGGTAACCATTGCCATGTTTGGAAGCACTGTTTAAAGTCCCTGTGTTGAGGTAACAGCCAGACTTGTTTCCTACAGCCTGGAGGAGAGTTATTTGTACAAATACAAGGAGTTTGTGAATTTGCCGTTCAGCACTGTGTTGAAGCCTGTTTGACCACAGAGCCTCAGCAGGGGTTCCAAGCAGCACTGGAAAGCATAGCTAGTACATCACCTACCCATCAGCAGAGTGCTGGATAAGCACATCGCCAAGCCAATGCAGCGATGCAAAACCCTCCTGCCTTCTTCTTGCTACTCTGCAACAGGTAGGGCCTCTACACTGCTCCTTCATTGCTCTTGGGACTCGCTGGATGGGAAAAACTGGTCTTGCTGTTGCTGCTTTTGGATTGCAAAGTGCCATTTCGAGTGCTTAGAAAAGGACAGGTAACCATCTTGGCCAGTTAAGGAAAAGAGGCATTGATGAATTTGATTCTTCTCTAAAACTTCTGCTGACTTCAGTGGGATCTGATGTAGCATTCAAGAGTAGAGTCTGGGATGAACTCCTCTTTAGCTATAAAGTTGCCTTATGATTCATAAAGTGTAAGAAAATCCTAATTGTTAGAAGTCAGAGATCAGGCAAAAACTGTACTGATGTATATTTAGCCTGTAAGTTGTACACTTCTTTCTCCAGCCAACCCAAATCAGGCAGAAAACTTTATGTCAGTAATTTGTCAACAGGAGGGAATAACGGAGTTTTTTCATATGCGGAATTTTAGCAAGATGCTAACTCTGCAGAGTGGGGAGGAGAAAATAAATTTTGAATAATTTTTTTGAGAATAGAACCTGCATGAAATACAGCAAAAATAGCCCCCAAAATCTCTAACTGGGCACACTTCTGCAACCAAGGACTTCAGTTTGGCTTGTCTGACCTTTGGAGTCCTGTTGTTCTGTTCACTTCTAGTTCATGGGACAGGTGCTCCTCTCCATTTTGTATGGGGTGTAAGACTTCTGTGCTCGCTTCCAGGCCTAGCACAAGTCACTGCTAACTCATTTGTGTATCTAGGGTGAACACTGAAGACAACTGTTTGAGACTGACAAAAGGCATCAAGCATAGAGGATACGGGAGAGATGGAAGAGAGCAAGATGTCCTTTTGCAAAAACTGTCCTTTAAATATGAAAAACCTCACTTTTGGATACTTTCTCAAAGTGAAAAACCAGCCAGTCAACTAGCAATTAGTTGAAGTTGCACACACTTTGAATAATGCAAGTATATTCATAGTCCAGCAGCATTTCTTATGCCCTTGCTTGAAAAGATTATTTTCCTATTAAAACATGTAATAAAAAATAATTGGATCATCTGTAGGCTGTGTAAGTGAATGGATCCATGGACATTTTCCATGAATGAGAGGATAGAGACAGGATAAAGAGCTACAGGAGCGTGAAAACATTGATCCTGAAGCCTGATCTACAGTACAGTGCTTTTGAATTATTTGCTATTCAGATGCCATTTTTGTTGCCCTCAGAAAATCCAAGAAAGCCCCTGCATATACATCAAAGCACTTTGGTTCTAGTTTGGCTACTTTCACTTGCGTAGAAATGTACCTTCCCATATGATTATCTTGATAATTTTGAGAGACCCCTAAGGAGGGTTAAGGTACTGAGAGACTCCCTTCCTAAATGACATTGTTTTTCTATTGTCCTAATTTCTGTAACATTCCATAGCTCAGGCAGCTGCACTGTTTGACCTTATAGGAATGAAATTCAGTTTAAGCTGAATTAGAAGAACATTCCAGCTGTAATTGTTATCTTTTCTACTGACCTTCGTATTGACTGTTTCCTTCCTCCATTATTGAAAGGAAATTACTGGGAGCCATTTTCCAGCCCTCCTCTTCTTTCTAGATTGGAGGGGGTGGGGTGAAAAGAAAAATCAGAATATTAATACGTAGAAACTTTGTAAGTATAAAAATAGTTGTAATTTTAATTGATTTTTTTAAAGATTTGTTTTAATTTGAGGAATAAGATGCTGTTGTCTCTTCAAGTAAAATCTTCCTACCAGGCTACAAGGAAGTTTCATCCCCTTCAGTGGAGAGAAGGGGATGTCTGTTCATCAGTTGACCTGCTGAGGTCACAAGAATTAGACTTGGGCGTGTTTGAACATGTAATATAGGGAGGAGACTTGCAACATGTAAATGACATTTTTTCAGTTACTTTTATTGTAGGACTGCTCCCTCCCCCCCTAAAAGGAATTCCCAACTCGTGGGTAATTCAAAACTGCTGAAACCTCACTTTAATGTGTAATCAGAAAGAAAAATAGTGATCTCTGTGTTTTGCAAAAGAAAATATTTTGTTTCAACTTTATCAAAACATTTTGGTGTATTCCAGTCTAACGTAGATGACATTGATATGTTCTGGAAATAGCTAATTTCACTTAACCAGTATCTCCAACAGAAAAACTTGTCAGAAAATTATGAATGTTTCTTCATGTTGTAACAGTTAAGTCCCCAAAATTTTATGAGGTAACAGATATTAGTGGGAAGTTACGTCGTTGTTTAGGGAGGAGGTGAATGTGGATTTATGTGAGAGCACAAGTTCCATCAAGCTTTGCTAGCCAATGTATAGTCTGTAAGCCATGGGTTATCAGTAAGATACAAAGTGCAGCTCCTGGAATAACTTAAAACAAAATGAACCCACTAAATATGCCTCTGTAATTAAGCAGCTATTGCATACCTGCTGTCAGCAGATACAGTTTCAGCCAGGTCATGTGAATTATTGAGTATCTGTTTTTAATTAAAGTGTTATTACAGTAATTAAAGTTTGGGCATAGACAGATATGCAAAACCTAAACATATTTATCACATCTACCCTATGCTCTACAGAAATATTTGAAAGACTCAGGAGTTTCTTCACTAAACATCAAGAAATATTTTTAGTAAAGAATAACCAAGTGTTTGAGGATTTGACACCCAGAGCTCCAATTCTCAGTTACTCTAATGTATTCTCAATTTCTGCAGTGTATGGCACCTTGAGATTCATTCTTGGATCTTTTGCAGAATACTTTCCTTTTAACATTCTCCCATGATATTTCACAGAAAATAATTAAATCATGATGTTCTAAGAGGTATTACTGATAATTGCTAACTATATAAAAAAACAACCAACCAAAAAATACCAACACAAAAAAACCCCACCCCAGAACAGCCTAAAAATGGGTTATTCATTTTTAGCCTTTTAATAGCATTAGACACATCCATGTTTCTTTTATTGTTATAAATAGGCCAACAAATCATTTTAATTACTGGCTTCAATGATTTTATACACTGATGTAAATAATATTGTTGTCAGTCTCATTGATTTTAATCAAAACCACTGTGCATCAAAAGGACAATTGCAGAATGCTGTTCTGTGTTCCCTCTCGCCTCTATTAACAGCAGAAGAGTCAATGTAATAGAAAGAAGTTTTCCCTTTGAAGTCAGTTCATGTATTTTTCTATGTTCAGTTGATTGATTCCACACTTGTTCTGTATTAAATGTGCTAAGGTGCCTTGAACCAACAATATACGTTTCAATCTAAGCAGAGATATGGAAATAACAGTTTGAATATGCTGAATATACTTCTGAAGCTTTCCAAAGCCTAGCCCACGCTAGGTGATTCTCATTCAACATCAGGGAAAATTTTGAATTGACTCCATTGTGCACTTTTGCTATGGAGATTTTGCTAATGGGTTTCGCTAAGGACAAATTGTGTCTCACTGTTCAAAATTTCTGGATGAAATCTAGGGATGTACAGCCTTGCTCATGTTCAGTGAGACAGGTTGCAGCATGTTGCTGGTCAAGGCAGTCCAGACTGGTCTAACATGTGTTCTGCTATTGTAAAGAGGGATCATATGGTGCGGAAGTAGGTGGTGTGGTTTTTTTCTTTTCTTAGGTGCCCGATGGGAAATCAAATCAGCATCTTACAGAGAAAAGAAAACGAAGTTACTTTGATATCAAATATGCCTTTTTAAAGATTGCTATCAGGCTGTTCAGAAATATTTAAATTTCCTTCTGGGATCAAACTCTTGTTTTCTTTAAGAACTGAAGTCAGGAGCAGGGCTTTTTTCTGCCTACATCACTATGACTTATAGCCTATACTTATTTTAATAAGAGTCCTGCTGTTAGAACTTTTCCAAATACTTCTCAACTGGTCTTAGATACTATTTTTTCCCCTGTCAGTATTATAACCTTGGAGAGAATGTTCCCTTTGTTCTTTCTCAATGAACCATAGAGAACCTGACATAATGGCTCAGAATTTTACTTGACAGGACTTGTGACAGCTGAGGAGATGAGAGCAACATGAAGTTATAAAACCCCAGAGCTCTACATTTTTATTTCACCCCATTTCAAAACTTTGCAGAGGCTGTGAGGGGATTGAGATTAATTTTTGGTATTGTTCATTTTTATCTAGTGAAATATGCAAAACCAACAAGGAATGAAATTTATCCCTTGAAAGTCAGGTTTTTAAGCAGATAGATGAGTTGTCATCTGGTTTCCAAAGCTTGGGTTGGGTTTGGCATTTTTTGCCACGCCTAAAGATTAGCATTTCACTTTGACTTAGACTGAAGTGCCTGGAACAGCCTTTCCTATTGTCTGTGTGAGACCAGAGGCATCACAGGGCTCTATTCTGGGCCAGCTGAGTCAGGAAGGAGTGAGGACAAGGACAAAGCCATTAGAGGACACCCTCGTGAATCCTCCTGAAAGGAACTGGTCTGTCTGAGATGCTGTGGGGTTCTATGACTGTGAATGACAATCCTCTTTAAATTCTCTAATTTCAAAAGCTTTTCTGAGCTATTGCCTTTGTAGATTTAAGGGCTAACACCACGAAGTGGTCCCACAGAGCTGAACTCAGTGCTAGTACAAGTCACCAGACGTCTTACAGACAACAGACAACTTGGTATCAGTGTTATTTGGCATAGTCTGCTGGCACTACCCTTTCTCCCCATTGCTCCCCCAGGTTGGCTCTGCTCTGCTGCTAAGATACAGTGAGGTGGTACCAGTAACCACCTTCCACTGCTTGCAGCATTATGCCTTCACTAATGCTGTGATAGTGTGACCCTGATGGCAAACAACTGCCTGAAGACACATGTGACCGGAACGTAAAAAATTTCCTGTTTGCACAGGAGCAGCCACTACCCTTCCTAGCTGGCAATGCAAGATCAGGCTTAAAAAGTTTGGAAAACTCATTCATGTATGCTGCTCCTTCAGCCTGCTGTGCATCTTCATTTACAAAGGGAAAAAAACCACTCCAAAACCCCCAAACTTTGTTTTGTATGACCCAAATAGCATCTTTGCTGGTTGAAAACACTAGTTAAGTTACAAGTTCACACTAAGATATGTATCTCCCAACTAGATAGACTGATGCTTCCTAGGTTCATGTAGTTAAGGTTCCTGGCTAGCTATTGTGAGAGCTTTGGCCTGATTAATGGATGTTGTCCAAGACAAGCATCTTTTCTGTTATATGGTTGTTCTAGGGTTAGGACTTAAAATTAATTTGTGTAAAACTTGCAGTGAAGAGTAAACTTTGCCCCAGAAAACTCACTCTTCTCCTCCACATACTCAGTGAGAGATTAATGATCCTTATTAAAAATATATATATATTGTTTCAACTTTGCTTATACTATAAAGTAAATGAGAAATGAAAGCTGCTGCTTCAGCAAAAGCCTACAATTTTTGCTGCATAGCTTGCTTTCGAAGATGCCCTTTGGTCACTGCACTGTTTTACAGGTGTTTTCCTCAGTGAAGTTGCTCCTGGAATAATTTGGAAGCATACCTTCTGTGAAACCAGCCCTTAGTATATTAACCATTTCAGGGAGTATATCATACATTAAGTGGTGTCCTCTGTGACTTGAAGCAAAAAGGAGTTCGTACCCTAAGAATGTGGATTAAAAATGCATGACTGCTATTTACAGGCTTACAAAATACTGGCTTGCAGTACAAGAGAAGCAGCCAGCCTCTATGGAACTGTACTTATGAATTACTTCAAAGTAGTACATGCAAGCTCTGATGCAGGTATCTGACCAAGACCAAGATTCTTGTTTCCTAGTTCTTGTGTGAAAGGGTGACAATAACTAACTTCTCTGTACCCAACACTAAAAGTGAAAATGCTTGGTTAGAGTGTTGGGCACTGTTTTATTATCTGCATAAAAAAAGCGCAACAGTGCTTTGAAAAGTGCACGCACACTGTCTTGGTAACAAAGTTAAAGCCATAGAGTGTATTTTTTCCCCTCATCTATGTCTTGGGCAGCCTGCGCTTATGTCAGCTCTTCCCACTGAGCTGAGTCACGGCCATTCCTAAAATGAGAGGTAAAATTCAGTTCACCAGGACTCATCAAGGTGATTGAAAGGCTGAGTGGGACTGGCCTCCAGCAGTTCCCCTGTCTTCTGAACCCAAGCCTGAAGCCTCAGTGACCAGCCTAATTAATAGCCTCTGCCCACACATGGCTGAAAAGGCTGGACTTTGGTTCTGTTTTCATTAGCTGATTTTACTGCAGGAAGACTTACTTTCTTTCCAGTTTTCTGTGAGGTTTTTCCTTCAATTTTTCCCTTCCCTTCTTTTTCTTTTTTTCCCTTCCCTTCTTTTTCTTTTTTTCCCTTTTGGGCTTTTTCCTGCAAAGCCATCTCCTGCTTGGCAGCGAGTTCTGCAGCGACCTGAAAGAGACAGAAAGGAATGTGAAGAGTTGGTCAAATATTTCCACATGTAAGGTGTGTTATACGTGTGTTGTAAGAGTTATGAACCAGTATGTATCTTTCTTTGTTTTCAGCTCTGCAATATTGGGGAAACATGATATTCAATACACATTGCTTGGTAGCCTCTATGAATCCCAGAGTGGCTGACTATTACAAAGAAGTCCTTTAAATATATGCTGAGGGCACTCCCATCTGCAAACTTTAGCATAGGTGCTGACTATCCCAATATATCATTGGGTCTAGCTCCCAAACTGCAAGGGCTTGTATGGAGTAAGACCAATTCCTGAAACCACTCAGAAGCACAATATCCTAATGATGTACAACTTAAAGTTCCTCTGGGCTTGGACATAGATTATGAATCTGTTTTAGCCTTTCTAACCCAGATTGATTCTACAGAGATGGATTTTGAGAGATTGCCCTGAGGCATGTCTACTTTCAATATGTGGCTACACTGAAATTGTTCTGGTGAGAGATTGGATAGAGATATCGTGAGAAACTCTGGTAGATATACACAGATAGACCAGCATCTTCATCCCTGCAAGCTAGCAGCAGCTCGTAACTTGGTACAGCTACGTCATTTTCCATAACTTCAGTTCCTGGCCGTTTCTCTTGTTCCCAGGCACCTTTCATTGTGTTCTTTTATACGATCATCTACTGATGAGTGTAAATCAGAAAATCTGTGGCCATTGAAGTTTATTAATGGATCATTAATACTGGCAGTACCATGAAAGAGCAGATAATAAAAAAATTTCAGTTGTAAGATGTTTCTTGTAACAGCAAAAATATTTGTTTTCTAAAGAATGCCTTGTAATGCATTGAAGACTGGGAATGACGAAAAGGGCTACACTTTGCAGCCAGTGAAATTTCATTAGCAGATTTCCCCAAGCATTTCAGTATCTTACATTTAATTAAATATGGTAATTTAAACCCCAAGCACCATTAAGTCATATCTTGCAGTGATAAGCAGCGAAACATTTAATTCCCCGGGATAGATTAACAGATTGACTAGAGTTCAAAATAGGTTTTTAGTGTCCCAGCAGGCCTGTTGTATCCAAAACCAACAGAGCTACTCAAACTGTACCCTTGATTGTAGCGCTAGTACCCTGTCAGAAATCCGACCTTGTCACCTCCACCCCCTGCTCTGACTGCCTACCAAAGTGTAACTGTAACAGTTTCCAGCATCTTATGGGGTGGGTTTATCCAGCAGGATACCTGTATGCACACGTACGATTGACAAAATGTTTTCATTTTAAGCAGTGTTTTTGAGTTCTGCTGGCAATATTTTAAGTATATCCAGACTCTGATCAGAATTATTTACTTCCATGTTTTTATACAGATGAATGATACTGAAAGAGGTTATATAGAGTTTCTGTTCTCATGAACCTGCTATAATGGGACTGAATGGTTGAATTGTCCTTATCCTTCTGTCTTGCCTTCATCAGTTTTGTAAGATAGCATGAAAAAAATATTTGTTTACTGTTTTCAGAACTGCAGTGTGAGCTATGATGTTAAGTCTTGAATTAACTGCTCTTATAGGGAACAGAGAAAAATGGTGCTTGCAGTTAACACGGAGTGAAACATATAGTAACGCAAGAAGCCAAGCCTAGAAGCATGCACAGTGACTGTAGCCAGAGGCTGCGTACATCCAAATCACACCTGCACAGTCTCTCTCCTGGATGCCTTGGCAACATATATGTAGTCTGAGCTGCCAAGCAGGTTTGGTGAAATGCTCCAAAGCCATGCAGCTGGCAATGCCCTCAGCATGTGGAGCCTGACTTCTCTGAAGTGGCTCTGTGCTTCCCAAAAGAGAATGACAGAGCAAATATAATTTTTCTTTTTCTGTGTCAGATACACCTTCTTCTGTATACTCTTTTGGTGCTGCTTCTCCAGATCTGCTTTCACCTCTGCTCTAAGCATCTGCATAATTGCAGAAGACTGGGAGCTGGGGTGAAGCTGGCTGTGTATCTAACCTTGAATGGCTTGTACTCTTCTACACAGAACAATTTCCCCTCTAGCTACAAGAAGATACCTAGAAGAATCTGACAAAAGAGGGGGAAAGAAAGGGAAGGGCAAGCAAAGGTTAGTTTGAGATACTAAGTAATTCACACATGTTACAATACATTTTTTTTCCCTGAAGAAAACTTCATAGTGGAAATAAAAGCAGATGTCTTTCTAAATTATTTTTGACTGCCCTTTTCTTTGCTAGGTTGACTCTTTTTGAAATGATGCTGAAAGCGCTCAGAAAACTCTTAATATTGGGGAAGAGGATGTACATTAGTAAGAACAGCCAAATTTTAGCCGCCTTTTTTTCTAGTTTTGCTGTAGGACTCCTGTTGTGCTAGTGATGACTCTTCTCCAGTAATGTTTTCTTCTGAGGCTGAAAAGACATTTTCCTCTAAACTGATATCCCACAAAAGTTGCATTGACATTTCATACATCAATTCAAGTGTGTTTCCAAACTCTCGCAGTGCAAATCCCCTGGAATGGATTGCCCAGAGAGGTGGTAGATGCCCCATCCCTGGAAACATTCAAGGCCAGGTTGGATGGGGCTCTGAGAAACCTGATCTGATTGAAGATGTCCCTGCTCGTTGCAGGGGGGTTGGACTAGATGATCTTTAAAGGTCCCTTCCAACCTAAAGCATTCTATGATTTTGGAGTGTTGTTTACTTTTAGGTGTGCACCTGCAAGCAAAGCTTTAGCTGTTAAAAACAACCCCAGCGATCTGTTTCTTGCAGGAATGAATTCAAAATGTTGGGTGGAATTTCATAGCTTTATGGGATCTTGCAAAATCTTATGGTTGGCTTTAATAGACTGTCATGCATTTCAGTCCATGATTGATGCATGCTTTAGGATTTTTTCTATCTGGCAGATGTTGCCCAAATGTAGTTTAACTCACCAGTTAAACTCTCGCACTCTTCTGTTAATGTTCTGGCAAACATTTCAAAACATTAGTCTTTACTGAATGCGTTTATGAGAAATCTGAAATCTGTCAGCTTTGCTTGGTGTAGTTGGTGGTGGGTTTTTTTTTTGTTTATTTGTGGTTTTTTTTTGGGGGGGAGAGGGTGAGTGGTAGAGGTGAAAAGGGGTTGTTGATACTACCTGCCTTTAGGCATAAAATCTAGACTACTGACTTCAAGCGACAGAGATCATGATCACAGGCAGTGGAGAGCTGCTGGACTAGAAGTCTAACTGCTGAATGGCTTCATTGCAGTGAATTGTTGTCTGGAGGTGAATGTATCTTCTTGTTATTTATCTTAACAGAGACTGAGTAACTTTTCTGTCCTCCTGCAGGGTTAACTTGAAATAATTAGAATATTTTAAGGCTTTGAGGAGCCTAGCTCCAACTGATGGTACTGTGTACTTAGCACTTGTGAAAATCCAGCCTGATGATTTCTAAGAGGAGCATCCAGAATAGTATGGAACAGAGAAAATAAGGGTGAATGTAACTTTAGGCATCTACTTCTACTGCTGAAAAGTATGCTTGGTGCATTTGCTGTCAGGATAAAAGCATATTTGTAAAATGCTGGATATGAAATAGTACAACTCCACAGAGCCTCTTGGGTCTTTCTCTAAACTTTAAAGCTGCTTGTGATGCACTCATTTGGTAAAAGTGAGTAAGATGCTATATTTGGAGATGTGTGTGAATATTGTAGTACTTGGCTGCATAATAGCATTTTACTGTCCCTACCTGGGAAACAGTCAGGGTTACTAATTAAATATTAACTAACTACTGGGTATTTTTTACACTGCCATTTGCAATCAAACTGATTACTGGGATTCATGGGGATTTTCAGCTGTTGGTAATAATGAATACTAATTAGTGGCACAGTATTGCATAGAGTGCCAAGCAAGTATCAGGAGAATATGTCTGTAGAGCAGCTAACACGTACTTTTTCTCACCCATTCTCTAGATGCTGCTGGATCAGATACTGCGATTACAGTAACATGGAAACGATTTTGTCCTCCATGTAGCAATCGAATGTACAACCAAAATCTTGGTAAGTAAGCATCTTTTTTTACTGATACGTTATTTAATATTGGAAATGAAGTGGGAGCTGGGAGAGAGAGAATGTGCCTGCTAAATGGCAACTCTGGGCTTATTTTCATGGTGATGAGACTTAATGAACTACAGGAAGAAATAATAATTTTGCTGGCAGCAGTATAAGGGCAAAGCTAAAAATTGTCACATCTGATGATTATCTTTGGAGAAAAACATAAAAAACTATTAGGGATAGGCATCTGAAACAGATGCAGGGAGATTTCACTGATGTCTCAGAATCTTAAATTTCTCTTGAAGAATATGTAAAGAAAGGCTTCTTTTTAGTAAAGAGACAGTACATGTTTTTCTGACTAAACCACTGAGTACTTTGCATTAGGATCTCTTTGGCATATCTTTTTGAAATGTATTTGTAAAATGTCATGAAAGCAGTTTGTTCAGAAGACCAGCTATATTGCAAAGTCAAGTAAGGTCAGACTTGTCAAAGGATAAAGAAATATAGAATGTATAATAATGCAGCAATGGTTCGTGAAGTGATTAATTTGTATTTTATTTTCCCCAAAGTGTCTTTACCTAAGTCTTATAAAATGCTCGCTTTTTAAATACAGTTCGGTCTTGATTTTTCATGGAGTTTAACTTGGGAGTAACCAACCTATTCACGGAAAGTAATATATACAAGAGGTGAAATCTTGTGTCCCCTGAAGTCAAGGACAAAACTCCCATTAACTTCAATGGGGCCAGGATTTCATTTACTATGTTGCCCAGTAGACCAGTGTGGAACAAAACCAGTTGCCTTAGGGATTTTTAATATGCGGCTGACTCTGTTAAACAAAAAATGTTTTACTTGTCTGACATTCAGGTAAAATCATGATCGTACTGAACTTTCTTTTAGCAGCTGCATTCTGGATATCTGTTAAGGTTACGTGACATATGTTCTGCTCTAGGTTGTGCTGGCTAAAAAGATGAAAAAATGGGGCCTGATAATCTTTGAAAATCAGATAATTGCTAGTGAAAATTTGTTTGGAAAATAGATGCAGTTTTTTTCTTCCAGGTATTTTTCTTTTGTGCAGGGAAAGCAGGCAATAAAACAACCTCTCTAGACTTTCAGCTTGCTTTATTTTTTTTATGCAAAGAGAAAGCAGATGCCCAGGAAAGACAGCAAAATAGCTGAAAGTGGGAATTCAAAGCTGGGAGTTGGACAGGAAGAATGTGTGTCTCCAGAATCTACTACCATATTCAGTTTCTTATATAATTTCTTGTAACTCTTTCTGAGTTGTGTTTATGCTTGTTGGTAGTAGGTCTAATTAGCATCACGTTCCCTAAAGCCTTCTTTAGAAATAAGCCATGCCTGCTGAGTGGCTCCCCTGCTGCTCAGAGCAGCCAACATTTTCTTCTCAACTCTGGCATGTGTCTCTACTTCAGAAGCGGAAAACTTAACCGATGGGTTTCCTTCACCCTGTCTGGGACTGAACAAGAGAGTGGCTTCGGTACAGAGGCCAGCAGGGTTGACCTTAGCATACTCTGAACTTGGCTAAAACCAGGAGCATGCCCTGAGCTCAGTTTTAGTGAGCCCCAGAGAGCTGTTTGTAGCAGTTGTCTTTTATGTTTTTGTAAGCAAAGTAACTAATGGTTAGAATATTATACTTTATGCTGGGCTAGTCTGTATTTACGTCTCTTCAAACCACACAGAGACTGCTAGTATGCCTCAGGCTTTTCCCTGTGATTCCAGGAAGGACTGAATCCAAAATACTGTTTTACCATACCTGTGTTAGATCATCAGTTGGAGGCAGCTGATGAACACACCAGTCTGTCTCAACAGGGGAGCTTTAGGGACCACAGAGTTCAGTTGCTGACTGTTCAGTTTTCCTAGCCCACCAGTAGCCACCATGCCTGGTTCATTCAGCGGCCAAATCCTGCTCCTGTGTGCAGGGCTTCCTGTTCATAAATTCCCTCAACAGACTCATCATCCTGTGAAGATCATTGTGGTGGGTGGAAATGGCTCCAAGTGCTGACCACTGCCTCAACTGGTCTTAATCACTTTGTCTGTGTGACACTCAGATGATCAGAGGAAGAGATTATCAGCCACTTGTATTAGCCAGAGAAGTCAGAGGAGGGATTTTACCAGGAAAAACAATGAAGTTCACTACAAGAATGTGTAAGATAAACTAAGATACTTCCTTCACCTGAATGTTCAGGCTCCCTCAATGATGCTTGGCAGGAAATCAAGGCTTAGGCCTACCTGCTTAAGAAACTCTTCTCTGCTTAAACTCCAGTAGTTATTGTTGGACTGTCCTGATACTGAATGCAAATGCGCTGGAACTAATTTCAGCCTCTGTGGTAGCCTTGGAGGCCTATTTTAAAGCAAGGCTCTTTAAACTGTTTAGTATATATTTCTACTAGTAGCTAGCACCAGTCTAACTACATGGATTTTGCAACAGGGGAGCAACTCTTTGTAGCTGAGCCCTTTCCTCTTAGCTCCCTCAGACTTCTATCTACCTGTAACTCCCACGCTTGAGCACCTTCCGCCATGACTAAGTGGCTACACATCCTGAAAGGGAACAAATTCTGGTATGTGACTTTCATGGTTTACCCTGGAAGAAAACAATTCTTTCACTTGCAGCAAAAACCTTTTTTAACTATAAGGTTCCTGGAGTGCTAGAGGTGATTGTTCTGAAAAATTGCTACTAAAATAAACTGACACGTTCTGTGGCAATTCCTTCCCCAATCCCATTAACCTTTTTTGTTAGAGAAGTTGACAGTACCTGCTCTGGAGTTTTTTGAGACAGGATAGCCATTGAACCTCCTGCCTTTTCAGTAGGATAGTCAGGAAACTTGCCTACGATATGCCTGTGTGAGAAACAAAAGATGGAAAAGGAGTTAAAATCCATGATTTTTCATCTGGTTGACAAAGATATTAGATGGTAGGGAAGCATACACTCTCTCATCTCCTGCTCAAAAACAGAGAGTTGGATCACTTCTTATGGCAGTGACTTATTGTCTAGTAAATTCATCAAAAAGGTTACCAACCTCTGTCTCTTCTCCCATGGTCCATCAAACACTGAAAGTTGTTAGGGAATTTCTTAAGACTGCACATTACTTCATAGCCAAGAGACTTAGCTTAAAGCGTTCATGTTTGTAGCTCTGCCTTCTGCTTTCAACACCTAGCTTTTTCAAAAAAATTATTTCAATCAAATTTTGATGTACAAATTCCAGATTGTAGTTCCATGTCAGGATCTCCACCCTCAACTGTTTCCAATGTACTTGCACTATTAGGTGGCGATAGAAGCTGGTGAGGGGGCAGAAAGTGACTTTGTGGTAAGATTTAATGGATGGCATGGGTAACAGAGTGTGCTTCCAGAACTTTCAGAAAGAGATTAAAAGATATAAATCATAAATACAGTCCAAAGGCCATTTACATTGATAAGGCTGTTCCACTTATTTAATTTTTGTAGCTTTTTGGATTATATTGGTAACATTTTCTGTTGTTTGGTAATATGAGGAAGATTTTCTGTTTCAAAGAAAATTCAGATGCTTCAGAAAAATCCTTGTGCTACTTTCAAATAGAATGGTAACGTTTCCTCTAAATGAAATGAAATTTCCCTTGAGAAGAAAATAGCTCAGAAAGATCTGTGCGATTCATAAAAATTGTTTTAATTTTTTTAAAAACAGCTAGTGCCTTAAGGGACTTTCCATTTTAAACTGAGAACCTTGGAACATAGCATCAGTTATGTTTCTGTAATACCATGTGTACAACTTGAATCCCTAGATGGTATTAACGTAATACAAATTACAAAAAAACCCCAAAAACATTTGTGATTGTAAGCTCTGACTCGCATGTTCAACAATTACTGTTCTATATGCAAACAGATGCAATACTTCGGTCACTGCATTCCCAGAAACCAGTTTGCATGAACAAAGGGGTGTCATTGTTTGCATATTTTTTAAAAAATCTAGTATGAATGGGGTTTTGGTCTCAGAAACCTGCATCATCTAGCTTATTTAAGGATAGATCATATTTCATTTTTTACAGACAGCTAGAAAATAGCTCAATTTTATGTTAAATGCAATCTTGTTTTAAATGCTGCTACAAGTCTGGCTTACAGCAAGAAATCTATCAAGATCTGATATTAAGGCTGTTGCTACTTTACTAATGCCAGCTGGGAGGAAGGAAAGGCAATATGCGCTGCGGGTGAAGAATCAGTTTGGAGTCCACCGCCCACTGAATGTGGTATCAGTGTCAGCTTTCAATATTTATTAGTGTTACATTTGGTATTTGTATTAGCTTTTTCACTTTTAAATCATTGATAGCTCTTGGAGGTGGAAATATTTACCCTTTGGGTATGTATGATGAGTTTATATCAGTGCTGTAGAAAATATATCAAATTCTGAAATATAGAAGTGGGTTCCAGTTTGTTTATAATCTGTATTTTCTGTGTGATTCTTCTGCTCGCAGCTGGTGCAGATGTTTAGGATGACACGGCTCATCTCATCTTTTTGTAGTAGCTACAGCAAGTGCTTATGTTGAAAAACAACTTGAGGTGAGCAGAAGGCAATGCCAATATTTTCACATAAATGCAAGAAAAGTGTCAGCCATTTACTAACCAGTCAGCTGCACAAGGACCGGGTCTTTGTCTGAGGGCAATGCAGAATGTAAGTTCCCATGGCCATCGGTGACCCTGAGAGCAGACAGCTACCACACATTTCAGTCCTGCTAATTCTTCAGGAACATCTGTTTTTTTCTTTGTGGACTTCATCCTTTCCTGTGTACTTGTTGTTTAGCATATCAATTGCTGACCAACAGTAAGGAAGCAGTATTCTGAAGTGTCCTTTCCTTATCTGATGTCTTGTGGGTATTCCTTTTTCTTCTAGGTTTAAATGACTACAACTTCAATCTTGTAATGCCTGGAAAGTGTGCATATGCATGACCCTTACAGACAAATTCCTCTCTTTAAGAAACCCTCCAGTTCAGAGGTTAAACCAGGGATTCATTTGGCCTGTAAATCTGCACAGAAAAATGCAGTCTTTGATCTTCCTGGTCAAAAGTACATTTTAAATGTAACGAATCTCAATTTTCATTCCCCATTCACTTTTTGGCAGCTTTCTACTCAGAGACATCACAATGGGTTGTCTCATGCGTCTGTCATAAGATACCAATTTGGATTCAACTGTATCTAAACTATTTTGTATAAGCTTGTTTTATTGCTGTTGATAATGACGAAACATCAGGATAAAATGAGCAGCCAGCATGTGCTCCACAAGCAGCCAAGGGCATTCCGATATCTTTGTTCCATCAGATATGCTACACATCATCCATGGCTCAAGAGAGATCCATGAGGCATATCCCACATTGAACAGGGAACAGCTCTTGAATCGGGATCTTCCACACACATAGGATGATTTTGAGCTTGCTTTACAGTTCAAAATTGTTCAAATAAGTTTAGACTGCCCTTCCGTTTCAAAACTTCCTAGAAACAACACAGTATTTGTGATCAGAGCCAGTTCTAAGGCTACAATACTGAGAGAAGATTATAAAAGAACTTGCTCCAATCTTGAGCCTAGCATGCTGTTTTGTTTTGCTGGAAGAGCTTTAAGGTGGAAATCCTTCTTGGTTCCACCTGTGTGGGCAGTAATGGCACATCCATGCTGTAAACCAAGAATTACAGAAGGTGGAGCTGCAGAGGTTCTCATAGTCAGCAACTAGTCTGAAAACTCATCTGGGGAGTAGTAAAGCATTATACCTGCACCTGCATTGCTCATTGACTCCAAAAGTTGAGTTGCAAATACCAACACTGTAAGTATTTAGCTCATTAGAGATCACTGGGTATGAATTTTAAACTAACATTTGTTATTTAGATTGCTCTCCTCGTTGAGTAAAAAAAGAAGACTGCTTGGCCTGCATTTTCTCTAATCTGCCCAGCATTTATTTTCAATATTCATAGTACCTTGACACTTTCTTTGTATGTCAGTCACTATATCTAGCTGGCAGATTACCCACGCTGATACCCTCTCTTCACGTCACTGAAAAGGGAGCAATATGCAAAAACTAAACTGGTGGTCAGGCAAGCCTGAAAGTCTTGTTGTGTGTTGATGAGGAGAGGAGACTGTAAAAAGCTTAAGCTCTTGGTAAGAAGAGTATTGGAGCGTGTAATATATTTGAGAGATATGGTACATGTCAGAAACACCTGGTTCCAAGGCAAGTCAAAACTCAATGAATCTGTTCCTTATTAATGTCTCAACATTTGCAGGGGAATAAAATATCCAATTGTGCTTTTCCAGCATCTCGTAAAAATGTGCAAATGCCAGAACTGGAAGAAGAAACCCTTACTTTCAACACAATTGCTTCAGTGGGAGTGCTGACAATGTGTTAAGGACTGCAAGCAAAAGCAGAAGCAAATTCTGTTGTAACTATCGGATTTCATATGGAGGATGCAGTTCTAGTAAAACTGTTTGCCTAAATGAAATTTGTAAAAAGTATGACTGCTTGGTAGGACTGGACTTGGTGGCTGCACAGAAACCAAGTAAGGTGAGACGGAAGGGTAGGGCTAGGAAGAAACCTCCACCTTGTGAGAAACTTCAGCAGTAGCCTAGGGAAGCCCTTATAAAGACCCCAAATCCTGCTGCTTCCCAGCCTGCAGGCATGGAACCGAGGGTGGTTCTTGTGGGTGACCTGCTCCCCGTTGTGTATTCACAGCCCACTGAACAAACTGTGTTTGGGAGCCTTGCTTGCATGGCTGCAAATCAAACTGATGAGTGCCAGATACAGTTCACAGTAGGCAAAATGTCTTTTTTTTTGGGCCACAGCCACTGCTTTAACAGAATTAGTAAATGCTTCTGTGCTGCAGAGGACATTGCTGAAGGGCTGTGGAGAGGGGACCTTTAGAAACTGTGGTATGTGAGAAATCCATTACTTTTCTGGAAAGCAGCGAAATCCTGTCAATGGCAACATAGCATGGGTTTGGTAAACGGCTTTACAGAAAAGCCATCTAATCGGAATGAATGGGGGCCCTAAATCTGAATCAAACCAGCTCAGCCAGAAGAGTAAGGGGATGAACAAAGATGAAGAGGAAACGATCCTCTAGCTAAGAAAGGAAAGGATCTGATGGGATTCTTATGCTGCTTCTCAAGTTACATTCTGTTGTCTGGTTCACTGTTACTGCCCTCCCCCTTTCCAAACTTACTCCTCTGGCAATAACTTAGATCTGTTAAGTGTAATTGAAAAAGAATGATCTTTTACGGTCTGCAATGCAAATCCTTTTCTCTCCGATAAAAGGGTGTAGCATAGGGTTCTGGCCCTTCTGGGCTCCATTTTGTTTTAGCGTACAACCCGCATAAATGTCTGGGTTTTAACTAGGTTCAAATGGTTCTTTAACACCTCCAACTCGCCACCAGACCGGGCATGAGTCAATGTGATTGGCAGTCTCTGCTCAGCACCAAATGCTGCAGCTCCTCAATTCTGACCTGAATTCCTTGTCTGGGTGATGACCCTACCCTGCACTCGTCCCATCTCCTGCTTCCTCTGCTCCTCATTACAGGAGCCCCACCATTTTTTCTTAAGTGTTTTCTCTCCATTCCACATTGCTCAGGGATGGTTATAGTTAAGGCTAGATATGGCTGTTGATTTATGAGAACACATCATTGATCTAAACATTTTGTCTTGTAATAGACTCAACAAGTTACTACTTACTCTGCTCTCTGGCGTGATTTTACATGTGTTATTCTTTCTTTTTGGCCATGGCTTCTCTAGCTAATTGTATAAAAGGCCTTGTCAGGAAAAATAAAAAATTGTTCTTTGGAGGAAAAAAAGAGGATTTAACTCTTTTCAGGGTAAGAAAGGATGTGGGCCGTGT